AAGGGGAAAAAAAAATTTTCATTTTCACGTGGGTCAAGGGGCCAAAATCGAATTTTTTAGCCGGGTGAACGTTGATTCCAACTATTTAAGCGACGGACTATTCAGAACTATCGAAAGTATGTGGAAAAAGTGAAAAACGAAAAAAAATTTTTTTCACCGGGGGCCAAAGTGTCGGATCTTGGATTTTTTCGGGGGGAAAGTCGGTCCAAGCGTAACAAGGGTCACAAGGGTCAAAGGGTCAGATCTTGGATTTTTGGCCAAAATCGAATTTTTTAGCCGGATGAACGTTGATTCCAACTATTTAAGCGCCGGGCTAGTCAGAACTGTCAAAAGTATGTGGAAAAAGTGAAAACTGAGAAACCGTTTTTTTTGGCCCCAGCCAAAGGGTCAGATTTTCGGGTTTTCCGGGGCAAGTGGACTTTCGCCAAAATCGAATTTTTTCGCCAAGTGAATGTTGATTTTGTATTTATTGGTCCCTCTAATGCCAATGAAACCCTCGAAAGCGTCAGAAATGTCGAAATTAAAAAAAAATTCACCCGGGGCCAAAGTGTCGGATATTACAAAAAAGTATATGTTCCACATGAGAATATTCGATGGAGTGAAAGAGATTTACTTCGGTGAAATTAAACAACTTGATAAAAGAAAATGTCATACTTTAGGGCAATTATTTATGTTTCAGACTTTAGAATTCGAACCAAACGACTAGTTTTTTAGTCATTTTCAACAAACCATTTCTAGACTCAAAAAAGAATTTTGATAACTTGTTGAAAAATTTACGCCACATCATTGACGTTCATTTTTTGCTGACCTCACGAATCTTAAAAAGTGACATCATTTCGCATTTCCATTTCACTCTGACAACAAAGAAGCCATTGTTAAATCCAAAGGGTTTTATTAATTTCCTCGAAATGCAGTTGATCTCACATCAGACTCAACAGCTGGACCAAGTGTAAACAATATTACTCAGCCCCTAGCTTACGTCACGCCAGTAGGCAATTTAATACACTGGAAATAAAAGAGAAATAATCCAGCGTAAACACACGCTTGCGCTCGACAATGAGAGTTCTATCTTCGGACTCCGAATGTGATACTTCTTCATACAATCACGATTGATAAAGAATATCACTGGAGACTGCGAGCATGATGGCTGCTGTATTCAAAAGGTTTCAATTGAAAATTCAATTGGATGAGGGATTATGAGACTGCCCTTGGATGAGATGACAACAGTCGGATGCTGATCAATACCAGCGGTTGAGGGGAGCCATGGACCAGCGGTTACGTCGGGAAAACGTGGGGTTCGAATAATTCATGTGCGAGATACGAAGGGAAAACAGAAATATTTCATTTTCATCGAATATTTCGCTGTTGGGTACGTGATAAGAGGAGACTTATTGGTATTGACACAAAAGAACTGAATGTGTCATTTGGGTTTTATGTGAGAAATAACTTTTCATCATGTTGTGCGAAAAAGTAACATAATAAACAATAACGTCCCTTTTCCACACATTGTGATGAAAAATATCGTTCGATACTCATGGGAAAAGTGGTTTTTGGCTCGTGGGATTATATCACTCGCCTTCGGCTCGTGCTATAAACCTCCCCCGAGGACACTGAGAAAAAAACAAACACGTTGTCAAACGTTTTGTTTTGGACAACAAAATCGCTAGTTGAAAATTGCCAAAAAAGAATTTGTTTCGTTCGAATTTGAAAGTCTCAAACATGAATAATTCCTCTGCTTTCGACAGCAAAAAAATATTTGGATCAAGAGGCGGATAATTCACACCAGACGGTGCCTTTTCAGGATGAAAATATCTAATATAGAGGAAAATTTATCAACAAATATTTTATCCCCAAGTTACAAGACTGCTATCATATAATTATTATTGTTTCATTTAATGGTTTATTTCTTATCTGTGATTGTTAAACAGCCGAAACGAGAAACTACTCTCGTTTCGGCTCTTCCAAATGATTTCTTTTGTACTGAAATATTAAATCTATTTTCTATTTCAATGAAAATATTCTCCTCGCTTCCGATTCGCTACTCTTGTCCTTAAATTACTGCTCTATTTTCTTAATAAGATTTTCATTGCATTTGTTCCCATAAATGAATAATTTTTCAAAACTAACGAGAGGAAAAAATAATAAAAGAACAATTTGTCCTTTTCCTCATTTAAATCCCCATGATAATTACCGCGACACCAAGTGTAGAAACCGTTCATTTTCAACATGCAAAGTTTCCTCAATTAACCGGTCGTTAAACCATTTAAACAATTAGACTCAATATTGCGTAAAATAAGTCATCAACCCTCGTTGAGCAGAAAGACACGTGGGATAATGCATTATCCACCGACCATTCTTTTATTTTTTTCGTAGGTGTAGTAGAGCGTGGGCGATGTAGATATTCTCACGTGTACGTTTGTTTTATATGCAGGTCAATAGGATGCAATCGAGAGTCGATACTGTTATTATATCCGCGTGGGTAAGCTCAACAATAACAATATACGATTCAGAACCCAATGAATAGATAAAGCGAAAAAAATTGAACGCAGAAGAAATGAAACCAAGTCAGCGAACAATTGCGCAGAACAGGTCAGATCATTCCGAGGTGATTTTTCAGATAGTCGAGTCCTCAGGTAGCCGTTGGTCCTGGTCGAAGATGTTAGACTACTCGGTCCAAGGTTTTATCCACCGAAGAACCTGTTATTTCATCCTGTTATTTCAATTCAAGTCTTTAATGCCCTGAAAACTATTCCCAACAATAGCAGTATCACGGGCTTTCCCGTGTAAATCTTATTCTGATGTACGTCATGATCTTGTATTCTGTTCTAATCTGTCCAAAATCAACACTAAGATTCAAATTGGACTGAAGTAAAGCTTTAACGACATTTGATGTTAATCAACAGGATCAGCGTTAAAAAAGTTCAAACTATATCAAGATAACTTCAATTAAGAAGCTTATGATTGACCTTCAGCCTCAACTTCAATTATCTAGAATAAGTTCGTCTATTCATCATATTTGTTCCCAACCCAAAAAACCAATAAGTAAATAGAACTCAGGAGGAACCTAATCAACGAACTACAACAGATTACAACACAACAGATTAGAGAATTCTTCAGAAGCTTCTACTCACGTTCTGAATGGGCTACAAACGCTGCCCCAAGCGTTGGTCCTCATTGGAGATGTTGGACTACTCGGTCCATAGTTGTAACCGCCAAAAAACATCTTCCCGTTATTTCAATTCACCGAGTCTTCAAATCCCCTCAAAACTCTCCCCAACAACAGTACAACAACAATAACAGTATCACGAGTTTTCCCGCGTAAATATAATCCTCATGTATATCATAAACGTCTATCCTCTTCTAATCTATCCTTAATGAATACTGAGATTAAACTTGTACTGGAGTCACTCCTTCGCACGTTATTGGAGTTAATCAACAGTTAGTCTTAATGAAGCTTGAACTATTTCCAGACAACCATACTTATTGATAATAAGCTCCTCTATTCGTCATATTTATCCCCAACGATCTAACATCCATAAATTCAACAATAATCTTCTGTTTAAATAAAAGATACCCTACCGAATTCATCATCAACTGTCTCCCGAAGGTGATAATCTTTTTATTCCGAAATTCGAACGACTCAAAAAACCAATAAGTAAATAGAACTCAGGAGGAACCTAATCAACGAACTACAATAGATTACAACACAACAGATTAAAGAATTCTTCAGAAGCTTCTACTCACGTTCTGAATGGGCTACAAACGCTGCCCCAAGCGTTGGTCCTCGTTGGAGATGTTGGACTACTCGGTCCATAGTTGTAACCGCCAAAAAACATCTTCCCGTTATTTCAATTCACCGAGTCTTCAAATCCCCTCAAAACTCTCCCCAACAACAGTACAACAACAATAACAGTATCACGAGTTTTCCCGCGTAAATATAATCCTCATGTATATCATAAACGTCTATCCTCTTCTAATCTATCCTTAATGAATACTGAGATTAAACTTGTACTGGAGTCACTCCTTCGCACGTTATTGGAGTTAATCAACAGTTAGTCTTAATGAAGCTTGAACTATTTCCAGACAACCATACTTATTGATAATAAGCTCCTCTATTCGTCATATTTATCCCCAATGATCTAACATCCATAAATTCAACAATAACCTTCTGTTTAAATAAAAGATACCTTACCGAATTCATCATCAACTGTCTCCCGAAGGTGATAATCTTCTTATTCCGAAATTCGAACGACTCAAAAAACCAATAAGTAAATAGAACTCAGGAGGAACCTAATCAACGAACTACAATAGATTACAACACAACAGATTAAAGAATTCTTCAGAAGCTTCTACTCACGTTCTGAATGGGCTACAAACGCTGCCCCAAGCGTTGGTCCTCGTTGGAGATGTTGGACTACTCGGTCCATAGTTGTAACCACCAAAAAACATCTTCCCGTTATTTCAACTCACCGAGTCTTCAAATCCCCTCAAAACTCTCCCCAACAACAGTACAACAACAATAACAGTATCACGAGTTTTCCCGCGTAAATATAATCCTCATGTATATCATAAACGTCTATCCTCTTCTAATCTATCCTTAATGAATACTGAGATTAAACTTGTACTGGAGTCACTCCTTCGCACGTTATTGGAGTTAATCAACAGTTAGTCTTAATGAAGCTTGAACTATTTCCAGACAACCATACTTATTGATAATAAGCTCCTCTATTCGTCATATTTATCCCCAACGATCTAACATCCATAAATTCAACAATAACCTTCTGTTTAAATAAAAGATACCCTACCAAATTCATCATCAACTGTCTCCCGAAGGTGATAATCTTCTTATTCCGAAATTCGAACGACCCAAAAAACCAATAAGTAAATAGAACTCAGGAGGAACCTAATCAACGAACTACAACAGATTACAACACAACAGATTAGAGAATTCTTCAGAAGCTTCTACTCACGTTCTGAATGGGCTACAAACGCTGCCCCAAGCGTTGGTCCTCGTTGGAGATGTTGGACTACTCGGTCCATAGTTGTAACCGCCAAAAAACATCTTCCCGTTATTTCAATTCACCGAGTCTTCAAATCCCCTCAAAACTCTCCCCAACAACAGTACAACAACAATAACAGTATCACGAGTTTTCCCGCGTAAATATAATCCTCATGTATATCATAAACGTCTATCCTCTTCTAATCTATCCTTAATTAATACTGAGATTAAACTTGTACTGGAGTCACTCTTTGGCACGTCATTTGGCGTTAATCAACAGAGCAAGTCTTAACTAATCCTAAACTATCCCAAGATAACTTCAACTATTAATAACAAACTCAGCTGTTCATCACAATTGTCCTTTCGCGTTTATTCGTCAACTTCACAGCAAGATTGATAATTTATCAGTCTCCTTGCCACTGACATCAAACAGTTCAACAACAACTTCAAGTTCAGTTGGAAAAATGCTCTCTGAAATGTCTTATCATCAACTGTGTCACGGAGGTCACAGCCTTCTCACTCCTCCGCTGGACCGATCAATTCGGTGCGAGAGAAGTCTCGTGTCACGAGGGTCGATGATATCACTATTCTCTCCACGAACCGCGCAAAAACCTTCTTCGCAGCTGCGTTTTATCACTCACAAAGATGTTTGGGTCTCGACAAAAGGGTGATTACACCATTATCAGTCTCTTCTTGGTCATTCGTTTGGTGAAGAACAACTTGCGCTTTACTGACGGTCTCATCTGTTCCATCTTCACTTCTGATGATGATTAGAACATCTTGAGCTGCGGTCTGCGCTGATATGAATAGATCTAATTGATGATTCAATCCACTTCACGTGTGCTTTTTAACTTTGTAACGAGACAACTGAATTATCCGCTGGTGCTCTCCTGCACGGACGGCTGTGAACTGAACCAGAATCAGCGCGTGGATGTACCCGCGAGCTTCTCCGGGGGATGATGGAGAGTAGAGGGGAGAGCAACCCATGAAATAACATAAGTTATGCTCAGGGGAAGGGGGGCTGCATCGATCAGGGGGGGCAGTGGTGCTCATTCTGTCGGTTCCGACCTTTGAACTTCAGACGGCTTAATTTCAAATCGAAAATGGTAATCTGGAGGTGGAATTGTTTCAATTAAGATTTCTGTTTAGTTTCGAGTTTCGGGCTGTTTCGCCGGCAAATATCTGCATTGGTATCGATCTTACTTCAAGGTCAGGGGTTGCATGAGGCTTGGAACTTGACGGACGATTGGACGTCGAGATTGTGCGGAAAAGTGAGAGATTGTTAGACGGTCAATTTTATGAAACTCGTGGAGGGGGCTGGGGGACTTGTGAGTGACGCGGGTGACCTGTGACCCAATGCGGGAATTGATAGTAGAGGAAGCGCAAACAGTGGGTTTGGGGGTAATTGAAAAGCGGATGGACATTTTAGGATGGGGAGGAGGGGGGGAATGGTCAGTGAACTTTTTGCCTGGAGATTATAAACTTTTAAACAATTGCTATTTCAAATTCAAGATAACAGTTTCTGCAAAAAATCTTGTGGAATGTCGCTTGTAATTATTATTTGTCTTCGAAGTTTTCATAAAAACTTCAATTTTCCAATCAAACGTAAGAATTGACCATTAAATCCAATCCAAGTTTCACTTCGGCAAAAATGCACCGAAGAGTTAACATTGAATTATCACCAAATTGATAATTTCTATAATAAAATCAAATTTTGGGAAATTTTTGTGGAATTTTTAATCAATTCTTATCTTAAATTCAAGATTAAATTTTCTGCAAAAAATCTCGTGGAATATCACTCGCAATTGTTCTTCATCTTCGAAATTTTCATTAAAACTTCAATTTCCCGATTAAACATAAAAATTTATTATTGAATAAAATCTAACTTTCACTTCGTCAAAAATTAACGATGCCAAAATACACTATAATATGGGGGAGGGTAGGGTAAAATCGACACTTGACTTTTTTTTAATTGTTCATAACTCACAAACAGATTTATCAATTAAGTAAGTAGGATAGAGTGGGGTAAAATGGACACTTCTGACTTTTTTAAAAATGTTAATGACAGGTTAAATTGTTAATGGAATTATTTTTTTTATTTTTTATTTTTCGATAAAAAGAACAATTCTTTCCCTTTATATTGAGCCTAAACTGATTTCAATTGATGAATCTGTCTCTGAATTATAAATATTTATTTAAATATCAGAAGTGTCCATTTTACCCCACCCTCCCCTATATTTTATAATTCAGTAAGTCATTAGCATTGAAAAAATAAAGTGACCATTCTACCCCATCCTCCTCAAGTCAAATTCTTTGAAATTTCTTTGAGATTTTTTTGAAATTTTAAAAACAATTTCTACATGAAATTGAAGATTGAATTTTCTGCAAAAAAATTTCCTGAAAATTCACTTGTAATTATTCGTCATCTTCAAAATTGTAATAAAAATTCCAATTTCCCAATCAAACATGAAAATCGATCATTAAATTCAATCTAAGATTCACTCCGTTAATAATCAGTCATGCAAAAACGTACTGTAGAAAAATAAACTATAATATAGGGGAAAGTAGGGTAAAATGAACACTTTTGACTGGTTTATATAAATATTTATAACTCAGAAACCAATTTATCAATTGAACTCTAGGCTCATCCCAAAATCGAACAATTGTTCTTTTTATTGAAAAAAAAATCCATTTTATCAGCAATTCAGTAAGTCATTAGCGTTTGAAAAAGAGTTTAGTGTCCATTCATCTCTGCCCTCCCCGAATCAAATCCTGTGAAGTTTCTTAGAAATTGTGAAATATTTTAAAAAATTGGCCTGTCAAATTAAAGATTAAATTTTCTGCACAAAAAATCCCATGAGCGAGCACTTGTAATTCTTCTTCATTTCATTCCCAGCGATGAAAACATCGAATATTAGCAATTTGTATGAAATTCTCCCATACATAAATTCCCGGAACCACAATAACCACTCCAACATTCATTTCCTCTAACAATATCTTTCCCTGTGCACTTCCCCAATTTCCTTCTGAGACGTCTCATTCACGTTTACTCGTCCAGACGAAATTCCGGAGTGAACCAACGACAGAATACACTGGGAAGTGACTAATTGGGAATGGAAAATAAATAAAGGGGAACTGTACCGGTTCCAAAAATACGTTCACCACTTGTGGTTGACAAAGACAGTGGAACTAAGCATTCCCGCAGTGACTGATTCGCCTGGATTCGCCAGGAGAGAATGAAATAGTATTTTAGGTACTCACATGTCAAAGTTTATCGACATTTCAGTGTCGTCCGGGAACTCACGCATCATTGCACTCACTTTGTTCTCCATACACACTGTTTTTCATTAATTAAAGGGAATTTCGGGGGACGGATGAAGGACGAAACGCGAAGAAAACAAACACAACATTCGGACAGCCAGGGACAACCGTCAACTTTTGAAAGAAGAATTCCCGATGCCACCACTGGGGCGCTAGTGTCGACTCGGTTGTGACAAGTTTGTTGAATAAAATTCTCTAGTTTCTAGGGATTTTTGGGGACAGGGTTTTGAGGCGGAATAATTTGAATGAGAGTTTTCTATTAATTGTTTTTTTTAATTAAGGCCCGGGTGTACTATCTTTCGAACGTTATCTCGATGTTTTTTTTCATCTTTCGTCATCTGAAATTGTCAATTAAGTCCTGCATCATGCAGAAGTTTTGAAAAATTATCAATGAATGATCAAAAAAAGTAGAAAAAATTCTTAATTTTTTCAGAGTATTTTTAATTTATATTCAGAATAAGTTGAATAACAGGAAATTGAGAAATTTATCTGATTTACGGTGGCAAATGGCGACTTGTCACCCTATATCATGCAGGGGGAAGACTGATTTCGTAAATCTTTTTCCACCCTGCACAGAGACATTTATTACCGAAAAGGCTCTTTGAAAAAAGTTGTAATATTTTGGAGAATTTTTTAATCACACTTTTATCACATAAAAATGGCAGATGACTACATACCACTGTTTTGAAAATTGAGATACCTAGCTGTCACTTCCCATGAGGAGTTAGTGTTTTGTTATCCAGCATGGAAAATGACAGCTAATAGATAATTTGCCACAGCGAATTAGATATTTGTAATTTCCACTTTTTTCAACTCATTCTGAATCTCAATTAAAAACGCTCTTTGAAAAAGTTGAGAATTTTTTCTATTTTTTTTAATCATTTTATCATAATTTTTGGGAATTTCTACATGATGTAGGGGAGGGTAGGGTAAAATGGACACTTTTGACTTTTTTTAAATATTCATGACGTGTTGAATTGTCCATGAAATGGAACAATTTTATTTTTTAATTGAAAGAACAATGATTCCTCTTTGTGATGAACTTGGACTGAGCTCAATTGATAAATCTGTTTCTGAGTTATGAATAATTTTTAAAAAGTCAAAAGTGTCCATTTTACCCCACCCATCCCTACCACTCAATTGACAATTTTGGATTACAGAAGATAAAAAAAATCCAGATCACATTCGAAAGGTAGTACACCCGGGCCTTAATGTGACAATTAGAGATGCAAAATGGCCGGAATTTTTTAGACCGCTTCATATGACCAAAAAATTAGAGTCATGACGCACAAATTTTCCAACTAAAAATGACGGCCACAAATAATATGTAAGCGAATTATTCTCTAAACATCTGTATAGATGCATAATGATGGTTATAACTAATTTTTAATTTGTGACGGTCATAAATAAAACAAATAGTTTTATTTGTAGAAATGTTAAATGAGCGGGGTTTTGGTTTGAAAAAGCACATGACGTTAATGAGGAATGAACGCAAATAAAAATTGATAAAGGAAGAAGGAAGTTACATTTATATAGATGAAAAATGACTATTTTTTAAAACAAATTGTGACAGTCATCATAAGTGTCTCGTAATGTGACAAATTTGTGTCATCATAAGTGACAGTCATGTGACGTATTTACATCTCTAGTGACCGTTGCACCGAAATTTCGAGGGATTTTGTGATTGAAAACTCACGATTTTATGAGAAACTCAATGAAAACTGTAAATTTCTGTTTAATTATTTCGTGAAAATTCCTAGAAATCAGGAAAATTCAACTCAATATCGTTCAATTTAATATTATTTCATCTAATTCAGAGAATTCAACTGGCTAGAAAGAGTATTCAATTATCCGTTCGAGAATAAAATTGTTTTCCTTTTTAATGTATAAAAAAATAATTTATTCAATAATCAACAAATTCAATTTCACTACTTCGGATACTTTATTCAATCTTCCGAAATCCCACGAAGGATTTTTGCATCAGTATTTTCAAATAGCGAATAGGAAAAATAATTTGAATGAGGATTTTGCAGGATTTGTTTCCCATTCGATATTCAAATTTGTAAAACAAAACATTCGCTTTAATAATATTTAATTTAATTCAGAAGATTTAATTGGCTAGATGGAGTATACAATTATCCATTCGAGAATAAAATTGTTTTCCTTTTTAATGTATAAAAAAATAATTTATTCAATAATCAACTAATTCAATTTCACTACTTCGGATACTTTATTCAATCTTCCGAAATCCCTCGAAGGATTTTTGCATCAGTATTTTCAAATAGCGAATAGAAAAAATAATTTGAATGAGGATTTTGCAGGATTTGTTTCCCATTCGATATTCAAATTTGTAAAAAAAATATCATTCGCTTTAATATTATTTAATTTAGCTCAGAGGATTTAATTGACTAGAAGGAATAATCGATTATCCATTCGAGAATAATTTTTTGTCCTTTTTAATGCATGAAAAAATAATTTATTCAATAATCAACAAATTGGATACTTCATTCAATCTCCAGAAGCCCCTTGAGGCTCTCCTTCAGAGTCTGTAGTGTCCCACTGATACCCCTCAGTGTCCCCACTTTTCCTCCCTGCATTGTCTTCCTCTCCACTGGAGCAATTCGTGTCAGAAGGAACCGACACTTCAGCCTTATCCCACTTCGATTTCTTTGAATTCCTCTCCCTCGAGCTGTCCCTCTTGGATCGTTTGGGCGTTCTGTGGTCCCTCCCGTTCTCCTTGTTCGACTCGTGACGACGACTCTTCTTGGATCTTCCACGATACTCATCATCAGGGGGACTTCTTCGTCTTCGAGACCTCGAAGAAGATTCCTCTCGTGTTCTTCTCGATCTCGAAGTTCTAGAGCTAGATCTCGAGCTCCTCGAGGACTTTCGGTGCTCTCGGGGTTTCACCTCGGTTTCTGGAGACTCTGACCATCTCCAGTCTTTGTGGTCTCTTTTTGTACTTCGGACTGAATCGTCCCATGAGGATTGACTCCTGAAACAACAAGCGAAGTTGCATTAGTTGAACTTAATACAGAAAAAACAAATGGATTTTTCTAGTGACTCATCATGTCATTTTGATTTTCGTAACATTTATTATTTATTTGTCGGGAAAAATTGCGTAAGAAGAAGTCAATGGGGAATTTAAAATTCATTCCTCCCTATTATCACAAAAGAAAAAATTTAATAGAAAAACCTGGCGAATTTGCTAGACAATTCTATTGAATTTCTATTGAATTGTTCAATAGAAAAAGGCTATAAAATTAGATTTTTCTGTACAATTTATTCTATTGAGATATTTTCGACAGAATTTCCTCGGCTCAAATTTTCTTATAAAAGTTATATATCTTTATTATATCTTTATAACAACAAATTAGTATATCTTTATTTTCTTTTCATCAAGAAAATCCAACAAAAAAACTTGAAACATTTAAGTCGAAAAAATTCTGTAGAGACTATTTCAATGGAATAAGTTGTTTAGAAAAATCAAATTCTATTGATTTTTTCTACTGAATATTTCAACGGAATTGGCCAAAAGCTAATAGTAAGTGCACTAGAAATCAAATAAAATTGTTCAGCGAATTCGCAAACAATTCGTAAATGTTTCTATTGAAAAAATTATGTACAAAAATATAATTTTACTGGTCATTTTTGTAAAATATTTTCTTTAAAAAAAAACCATAGTAAATGTGTGGAACTCTTTAAAAACTTCGATACAATTTTCTCTCGAATTCGTCAGGATTTTCAATGAAATTGTTTCGTGCATGTTAATTCCTTACATTCCTTACATTAAAAAAACCCGAAATATCATTGGAAAAACAAAAATCCCATAATGACTTATTGAATTTACAAAAATTTCCAATCCACAACTCCGCACCAAATATTTCAACAAAAATAAAGAAAAATGCAACAAAAAGAATTTCACGAAAAGGATAAATAATGTGTCAACAGACCTGCGTTCACTCTTCTCACTCCTCCGATCGGAATTCTCCCCCTCCCCCTTCTTGCTCCACCTCGGAGGGCTCATTATATCGTACTCATCCCTGGGATTCCTGAAAGTATGCAAAAAATTGCACATTTTGCCTTTTGGACACCTGAGGAGTCCGCAGACAGCAGCCCTCCACGAGCCAATGTTCGCGAATTCGCAGTTCAATTGTCTTCCAGCGTAATAACGTCCATTCAATTTCCTCCAGGCCCTCGCAGCCTCCCTCTCACTGGAGTACTCCACATAGAGATTTCCCCTGAGATGAACCTCAGTATTACGACAGAACCTCAGGGTTTTGATCCTTCCGAAGGACTCCAGCTCTGGCAGAACGTCTCGATAGAATTCCCTGAAGTCTTTTTGAGTCTCGAAGCTGTCGTACTCCAGGCCGATGTCAGTGTCGTACTCGAATGAATTTCTCTCGAGGGAAAAGTGAGTGTAGAATCCAGGAATCACGAGGATCTTCCCGAGGGCGAGTCTTCGGTGGTTCCTGGAGCAGGAGTCACCGTACTTGCAGGCTGCTGTCTTCGTGAAGAAGGGACAGAGCTCCTTCCCAGGTTTGCTGTCCATCACTGCTCGCAAGGACTCGGGGGTCTTCGTCCCCTCGTCGATGTAACTGTCTATTGCCTTCTTGAGGGTCTCCTGGTGCTTCAGCTCCTCTTCCTGACGGCTCTGGGTCTCTTTTTTCCGCTTGTTCAGGAGCTGCTGCTTCGCCTCGAACTCCTTTCGGAGGATCTCCTCCTGGCGGTGCTGCTCGGCTCGGGCTTTTGAACGACGTTCTTGGAGAAGCTTCCATTCTTCCTGGGCTGTCACCTGGGTTTTGGGTGAAAGAAAAAGGGGTGTAACGATGTTCAAGCGAGGGTATTACCTCTATTGATTACAGTTGTGTGTAGTTACGGCACATTTCATTACAAAAACTCATTACCGGCAAAATTCATCACAGTGCTTTTGATTCAGTAGTGAAGCGGTAAACCGAGATAAGTCGATTTTGACTATTAGCCAGTTTTTGCTGAATATCTCGGAATCTAAGAGAGATAGCAAAATTTTTCTCATGATTTTTTTATAACGCTCTATTGGCTCTACAAAAAAGGTCATGACAAAAATCTTTCTATCTCTTTTAGATTCCGAGATATTCGTCAAAAACTAGCCAATAGTAAAAATCGACTTAACCCGGTTTACCGCTTCGCTACTGGATTGTAGGGGAGGTTGGGGTAAAACGGAAACTTTTGACTTTTTTTTAAATGTTAATGAGGGGTTGAAATGTTGACGAAATTTAATATTTTTTTTTCAATACAAAGAACAATTCAGTAGCGAAGCGGTAAACCGGGTTAAGTCGATTTTGACTTTTCGTCAGTTTTTGACGGATATCTCGGAACCTAAGAGAAATAGCGAAATTTTGTTCATGACCTTTCTTATAACACTTAATTGCATCTACAAAAAAGGTTATGAGAAAAATTTTTCTATCTCTTTTAGATTCCGAGATATTCTTCAAAAACTGGCCAATAGTCAAAATCGACTTAACCCGGTTTACCGCTTCGCTACTAAATTATTTCCCTTTGTGACGAGCCTAAACTGAGCTCAATTGATAAATTTGTATCTGAGTCATGAATAATTTTAAAAAAGTCTAAAGTGTCCATTTTACTCCACCCTTCCCTATGGACAATTCATCAAGAATTATTGATTATTGCGGGCTTCACCAATTTAGATTTAAATTCAAGGCTTCTATTTTCACCTTATTTCAATTCAAATGTAACGATTTATTTCGTCGGTGTGTGATTGATTTCCCTGTAATCATTTTTGAATAGAAATTAACGGTGGGGGGTGAGGTACCTGAGTCCAGTGAGACACTCTCCTGGACTCAGGTACCTAAGAGTTAAGTCTAACAGTTAAGAGTTAAGAGTTAACAAATTTGTTGCGACTCAGAACAAATGATTTTTATGGCGGAAAATTATTTGCCTATAAAATATCTCTATTTATAGAAAAATCGATTTCTATTGAATTTTTCTATGGAATATTTTCTACTAACATTTCAATAAAATTGACCAAAAACTAATAATAGAAAGCGCAACAGAAATAAAATAAAATTGTCTAGCAAATTCGCTAGGTTTTTATATCAATTTTTTTCGTGGGTGATAATATTAAAATCTGATTTTTTTATTATAAATGTGAAAAAAAAAAATTTCTTCTATTTATTATCAATAATATCTATCCAAAATCGTCAACGACTTCGAACAGAAACAAAACCTGACATGAAATAGCCGATTTTTTTGTAAAAATAATACTTCTGTTGAAATTCCTCAACAATTTTAATGTAAAAAATCAGTTCTAATAATGTAACATTTAAAAAAATTATAAATTCAACAGCTTTACGCCCACAAATACCCACAGGAAGAAACAAAAACTTTTTATCTCATTATTTCCTAGCAAAATAACGAGCCATCACTCAATCTTGTAAAAATGATCTTTAATTTCTCGATCCTCACCCAGCAAAATGAACAAACAAACAGATTTTTTTGTTCGCACCAACTATTATGTTCACAAAATGTAAATACTTGGCTGAAGGTCCCCGGGCGATGGTCAGTTGTAAGTTCCTTACAAGTTGCAACAAATTTCGTTAAAAATAAGTAAAAGTAAATAAAAAGCTGCTCATTTTTTTCTAAATATTTCTCACCTCTCTCTCAAGCCAGAGCCGTTCCTGCTCGTCATGCTCCTCTCGTTCTCGTCTCTCCTTTTCTTTCTCCAAATTCGCTTGCTCCTCGATCCATTTCAAATACTCCGCGCTCCTCTCCAGTGTCTCCCTCAAACGATCATCATCGGCCTCTCTCTCACGAGCGTGTTTACGCCGTATTTTCCTCCTCCTCTCTTTCTTCGCGATCCTCCTCCACTCTTTGTGGGACAGGGACTTCTGTTTATCCGTTTCCATCCCCCAGGAAGCCCAGGAATGACTGAAGGAGTCTCTCTCATTTGTTCGTTAAAAAATTAGACGATCAACTAGTTCACTCAAAAAATACCGGTCAAGTTCACTCGACTTCTACTCACGTGGGACAAAATCCATTATTTACCGCTACATTTCACCTTGAGAGAATTCTAACAATCACAAAAACTATTGAACACTTCCACTAAAATCTAATTGAAGGTTTGAGATCAATGAAACTGTCGGGAAATATCGTATTACACACGTTCTAAAATCAAAACACAATGCCCAAACTTCAGTGGAAATTCCTGACACTAAAAGCTAGCTCAGTTGATATCATCAATCCCTTCAATACGACGAAATGCAAAAAGCGGGTTTAAGCCGAAATTTTGAATAATTTTTGCTCGGAGTCATCGAAATGCTCTCAATCGTCAATGCACTCGTTTGACGAAATGCAATCGTCAATCTCTTCAATTCAGTAGTGAAGTGGTAAACGGAGATAAGTTGACTTGTCTCCTAGTTGAGTTTTTGAGGAATAGTTCCGAATCTAAGGGAGATAGCGAAATTTTCGTAATTACATTTGTTGTAGCACTCAATCGGCTCCACAAAAAAGGTTATGACAAACATTTTGCTGTCGTCCTTAGATTCCGAGATATTAATTGAAAACTGGTCAATAGTCAAAATTGATTTATCTCCTTTTACCACTTCAGTACTGAATTTTTATTCGTTGTCTTAGAGGAAATTATCCAAGTAAATGAACAGTATCAGTCTAGTGAAGAAAAATTGATTACATGTCAAAATGACACACATAAATGTTAACATAAACAAATTAAACATACACATTCAACACAATTTCAATACAATTATCAATACAGTCTTCGAAATCAATGAATTACTTTTGGCATGATAATTCATTTAATGAAAAATCCAAAAAATATGAACAACAATACAGTGAATTGCATCAATAAATGAGAACATGTAAATCAGTAAATCGACAAATTCAATAAATTGATATCAAATTACAATTAAACTAACCACAACGAAGTAATTAGCATACACACAACACTTTTTTTGAAATCTACTCCCTATTCTCATAATCACAAAAAATATTATCTTTATTAAATTGTATTAAATCTGCATTAAATCCTTCAGTACAATTGAAAATAAAAATCTGTTTCGAACTGCGATTTTAAATAATTTCTACTCTGAATTTGATTATTTTATTCCATTTTTATTCGTTGTCTCACAGAAAATCATCTACCAAAATGAAAAAGATTGAATTGATTGGTTTTTGGTTTAGGATAAAATTGTTTAGTGCAGGAAAATGTAGAAATAATCGAATTAAATTTTTTAGATCAATGAAATCATCGGAAAACGTTTCAGACTCGTTCTAAAATCAAAACGCAGTGTCCAAAATTCTGCGGAGATTTCTGCAACTCTCAGTTGATATCATCAATACCCTCGATACAAGAAAATACAAAAAGCGGATTTAAACCGCGATTTTGAACAATTTCTGCTCGGATCAGTCATCGAAATCCTCGCAATCATCAATTCGAGTATTTCATTCGCTTTTTATTCGTTGTTTTGGGGGGAATTATCTAACCAAGTGATCAGGATTCATTTGACTGGTTTTTGGGTTGGAGATAAAATTGTTTGGTGAAGGAAAATGTGGAAATTTTTTCGGACTCTGGCGAAACTCCTCGTCGGGCTAATTTTCATCAGTTTGACGAATATTTTGGTGTATGATTCTGTCTACGTGATTATGTGCATTCTCGTGGTGCTGGGGCTTGCTAATTTCGTGACGAGAGCTGAGGTTTAGCGAAATTGTGAGTCAATTTGATAATGTTTCATTCATTTTAACATTTTGCGCTTCAAATCTCTTAATTGAGTTTTTATCGCGAGAATAATTGATCTAACGAAAAAACACCAAAAGATAATTTTTGAAGCTGATGAAATTTTCAATCGAAAATGTCTTATAGCGATTTCTCCTAAACTCACTCATTATTTAAATAATTCTAAGTAAACTGTACAATTATTCAAATCGTATTGCTCTTAATGATTTCGTTTCCTCATTTAAAAAATTCTGAATAATTTTGCTTCATTGATTATAATGAATAGAATTTTTATAATCCATGGGTTATTAAAAAATATCCAATTCACAATAATGATTGAAAAATGAGGAAAAGAAAGAATCAAAGGCTTGAAAATAAAAAATAATTACTTTTCATTCATCATAAAATTAGGATTTTCTAAATTCATTACGTATGAAAAAAAATTCATAGAAAAACAGAATTCGCTTGAAAATTCTATCGTATCTCTATTAAACTTTCCATTAGTTTTTGGCTGATTCTATTTAAAAATTGCGCAGTTTATCTGTGCGTTTTTTGTTTAATTCAAATGTTCAATGAAAAATATTCTAGAGAAAAAATCCATAGAATTCTTTTTTTCAAATGACATTTCAATCAAATTCCGCAATTATTCAAATCGTATTGCTCCAAATTATTCCACGTCCTCACGGAAATTCGAAATAATTCCTCTTCATTAATTTAAATAATTAGAATATTCTCAATTCAGAAGCTCTTGAAAAAATATCAAAACAAATCTGAAAAATCCGCAAAGTACTTTCATAATAAGTTCATAACTGAAGAAAGAAAAAAATCCTCAGTACTGGACCTCTGAATCGTGCATTTATCTCGAGAACAATTGATCTAACGAAAAAAGACGAAAGAAGAAAGATTTTTAAAGCTGATGAAAATCCACCGAAATGTTCTCTAATGATTTCTCCTGAAATCACCCATTATTGAGATAATTCTAACTAAACTCCGAAATTATTCAAATCGTATTGCCCCTGATGCTCTCAATAATTTCATGTCCTCAATTGTAAAAGATAGAATTCGTCTAATTAAATAAAAAATATCAAGTCCACAAAAAAATCTAAAAAAATGAATCAAAATAAAAAAAACAATATAAATTCTTCTCCTGCATTATAAAAATTGGAATTTTTCTAATTCATCACATACGAAAAAAATTAACAGAAAAACCTGGAATGCGCTTATGAAAATTCTATTCGACACTTTCTCAATTTTTTCAACAGAAATGTTCAATGAAAAATGTAGAGAAAAAATCCATTATAGAATTCGATTGATATATTTTCTGCAAAAATTCCTCCGCGATCATTTCCTACTCGACTTTCTGAATGAGAAGAGACGAAAAATAGAGTGGAAAAACCTTTTAAAAACTCATGTCTCAGAAAAAAAAAGTTGTAAAGAAGGATAAAATTCAAATGATTTTCTCCATAAAATAGTGTCTGATGTATTGATTTTTCATCAATTGTTTTTTCTATAAAATTCACTATATTCTCCTCTACATTTTTTTTTCGTGCATGACAAGCCATTAAAAAATATAAAAACCCCCTAAATACGAAAAAAATTAACAAAAAAACCTGGAATGCACTTATGAAAATTCTATTGGACACTTTTTAAAATTTTTCAACAGAAATGTTCAATGAAAAATGTAGAGAAAAAATCCATTAAAGAATTCGATTGATATATTTTCTGCAAAAATTCCTCCGCGATAATTTCCTACTCGACTTTTTGAATGAAAAGAGACGAAAAATAGAGTGGAAAACCCTTTTAAAAACTCATGTCTCAGAAGAAAAAGTTGTAGAGAAGGATAAAATTCAAATGATTTTCTCCATAAAATAGTGTCTGATGTATTGATTTTTTATCAATTGTTTTCTCTATAAAATTCACTATATTCTCCTCTACATTTTTTTTTCGTGCATGACAAGCCCTTAAAAAATATAAAAACCCCCTAAAAATCAATAAAAAAGCAATAATCTCACCAACAATACCCCCAGCTACATCCAATTACCCCCAGATGTCACCACCCGCAGCACAACTAAAAAATTACGTCACAACCTCGCCAGTATGGCAGTGTCGTGTCGTGTAGGCCCTCATTCCGGTAGTATCTCCTCTCCTTGCCCCGCAAACACAAAATAAACAACTCATTGTTCACTCCTAAACAAACTCGTGACCTCGTTGCGCAAAAATGCCCGTTCCCCATTCAGTGCTGGAGCCAGTGATCCACTTGTGTTGAGTTGAGTGACTCATATCGCTCGGTGACGTTGACAGGTGGGTTCTGTCACTCCCGAGGGTGTTGATCAGTGTATGAAAATGTTCGCGGGATTGAAGAATAAAATACGCGAGGAAATCGGAAGTGATGTGTCGGCTGTGGTCAGGAGTGCTGGATCGGTCAGGGGTATCAATTCCAGACAAATCTCACAGGTACTTTGCTGATTGTCTTTTATTCCGTGTGTCATTACGGTGCATCACGCATGAAAAAATCGTGTAGAAATTTTCTATACGGATTGCGTAGGGGAGGTTGGGGTAAAATGGACACTTTTGACTTTTTAAAAAATGTTAATGACGGGTTGAAATGTTGATAAAATTATTGAATTTTATAATTTTTCCTTCATTGCAAAGAACAATTCTTTCCCTTTGTGATGAGCCTAAACTGAGCTGAATTGATAAATGTGTTTCTGAGTTATGAGTAATTAAAACAAAAGTCTAAAGTGTCCATTTTACCCCACTCTCCCCTATAGAAATTCTATAGAATTTCCGTATATGATATTCGGATATTTCTATACTAATATTTTCTGTACGAATTATTTCTATATATTAATTTTTACATAAATTTTTGTTTTCGTAGGAAAGATGTTTAAACGCTCCATAGAAAAACGTAGAGAAATGTCACAATTCCATACGAAATATTTTTATACATGTGGCAGTGGGTCGTATAAGGTCAAACCTATAGAAATCGTATAGAAATAATTTGTATAAAGAATATCCGTATAGAAATATCCGAATATCATATACGAAAATCCTACAGAAATTCTATACCCAATCCGTATAGAAAATTTCTATACGATTTTTTCATACGTGATGTCTTTGGGGTCGTTAATTGAGTTAATGATAAGGTCAACAATGATCAAATATGTGAGAGAACAATGGAAAATTATTTGGATATTTAATTAGGCGGAATTATGGGAATGGATAAATTTAGTTGTAATCGACTTTCTCGACCGTATGTTCTTAAATTATTTAAGTAACAATTTTCCCAAATATTTTCATTGCAGACTGGTTCCTCCAGCAGTATAAGTGGCTCGCAAATATCCCTGGACGAGTCTCGTGACGGCAGTGCCATATCCCCATCCCCAATCCTCCACCACAAAAGAGAAAACAGTTTGGATTTCAAATTAAGCGATGGCACACCGTTGACACCCAAAGATATTAAAAAATTCGAGAGTCGCGAGGAGGAGTGGAGGAGACGCCTGATGAAAAAAGAGGCGGAGTTGCAGAAGAAAATTGATAAGAAGGATGACGAGTGGAGGGTCAAGCTGCTCGAGAAGGAGAAAGAGTGGAAGAAGATCCTGGAGAAACAGGAGAAGGAGAAATTGAAAGTGGAAGAGGAGAGACAGAAAGCTGAGACTGCCAGGAAGTCCCTGGAACTCGCACTCAGGGACGCAGAAGGTATCGTCAATGTTCCATTTAATGTCACTAGAAGCTTTCTTCCTTTTTCTTTATATTTTTTTCATAATTCGTAAATCAACGTAAAAAGTAGATAGTTTATACTCCTTTTATAATTTGGAATTAGTGTTTGCGCAAGTGAATTCATTCATTCATTCATGATAATAATAATTCGATCAAATTTGTAGTCTCTAATTCTCAACTTCTGTAATTTATTCTATTCATTCTATCAGAAGGCAACGATAGAAATCGAATTTATGGGTATTCTTTCATTATTCGAAAAAGAAAATCAATTTTAAAAATTTTCGACGACATTGAAAAATGACTTTTTTTATTTCTTCCCATCTACGTTTTTCGCATTTTTTTCATTTCTTCTCGTTGAAATTATGTGATAAAATTCAAAAATATTCATATCTTCTACCGACAGAAATGAAGAAAAACAAATTTTCTCCATTTTCTAGCCGATCATCCCTTTTCAAAAATTTTCAATCTCCAATTCGGGATTTTTGCAATTCATTTCCGTTTATGTAAGGAAGTATGTAAAGAATGAAAAGAAATTAAGTAAAGAAAGATGGCACATTTATTCACCCATTATTATAAAAATATAGTTTCAGAGATTCTGATAAATTAGCTTGCTCTTGAATACGAGTGGCAGAAATAGAGACATGCGTAATTGGGAGATGTCCCAGTAAGCGCCACTTTTCGACAGATTGCGAACACTGTTATTTAGCTTTAAGGCCCGGGTGTACTATCTTTCGAACGTTATCTCAATGGTTTTTTCATCTGTCGTCATCTGAAATTGTCAATTGAGTTCTGCATCATGCAGAAGGTTTGAAAAATTATGAATGAATAATCAAAAAAAAGCAGAAGAAATTCTCAATTTTTTCAAAGACCATTTTTAATTTATATTCAGAATAAGTTGAATAACAAGACATTGAAAAATGTATCTGATTTACGGTGACAAATGGCGGCCTGTCACCCAATATCATTCAGGGGGAAGACTGATTTCGTAAATCTTTTCCCACATTGCACAGAGACATTTATTACGAAGAAGGCTCTTTGAAAAAAGTTGTAATATTTTGGAGAATTTTTTAATCACAATTTTATCACTTAAAAAATCCAGTGTAACGATTTCTGAAGCCTCTATTCCGCTTATCAAGTAATGTAATATTATGTCTATGTATATTTTTTTATGTACTGTAATTTATTTAACAATTGAAAAAATGAAATGCAGTTCTGTACTATAACAAAATGCATACATGTATAGTATCTATATTATATAATATATAGCAGATATATTATACATATATGATTTATACTTTCATTTTTTTAACTGTAAAAAAATTTATAGTTCTGTAAAAAAAATGGATATATAGGATAGTATATACGTATACAGTACATAATACATCCCTAAAAATTAATAAAAACGTAAAGCAAAAGAGAAACGAAGAAGAAGATGAAGAGGATTATAACGATTCCGAATAAATTATTCAACAATTAAATTGTCATTCTGAAAAACTTTGTTGAAACCATTCATTTTTTCTGCATTATTATTATTGAGATAAAAATTAATGAAAGTTAAGAAACGGTTAAGTTTTACTATTCTGGTACCCATGGAAAACAATAAGCGCGCGTCCTGTTCTAGTCACATAAAAATGGCAGATGACTACATACCACTGTTTTGAAAATTGAGATACCTAGCTGTCACTTCTCATGAGGAGTTAGTGTTTTGTTATCCACCATGGAAAATGACAGCTAATAGATAATTTGCCACGGCGAATCAGATATTTGTAATTTCCCCTTTTTTCAACTCATTCTGAATCTCAATTAAAAACGCTCTTTGAAAAGTTCAGAATTTTTTCTATTTTTTTTAATCATTCTATCATAATTTTTCGGAATTTCTACATGATGTACCACTCAATTGACAATTTTGGATTACGAAAGATAAAAAAAAATCCAGATAACATTCGAAAGATGGTACACCCGGGCCTTAAATGTTTATAATTCTGCCATTACGATCATTTTGTTTTAACTGGAGAAATATATAATTTGTCTTGCACCAAGATGTTTTCTCCTCTTCGGTAAATTTTAAATTCTGCCCATTAAAAAATCTCTGAGAATGGCAGAAACCGGGACTGTGGGACTTACTGGGATATCTAGGCCATTACTTTTTCTTGTTGTGGGGCTCATGTTTTATTTCATCGATTTGTTATCGGTGTGTTGATGTGAGAGGGGAGTTTATGCGATCACTTGCATGCAGATGGTCTATTTAAATGGTAATGCTAACGCCACAGGTGTGCCGGATGATGCGATAATCGTTTGTTTTGTTCGGTTTTTCAGAGTACAAAAAGAAACTTTATAGCTTTCAAGAGGATGCTGAACAACTTGAGGGGTTTCAGACACAGGAAATGGCCAAAATCAAACATTTAGTGAGTCATTTTGTCTTGAAAAAAGTTTTCTAGTTAATTGTAGCCTATTCATTCGATTTGTTCATCGATTAAAGCAATATTTCGGACTAATTCGTTCATTCATTGGCTTTTTTCAGTTGGATATATAATTTTTTGGCCTTGCAGAATATAGTTCTGCGGAATTAGAATTATTCTAAGGAATTTGAATGTTCAATTTCGTTTTTTGTTGGTATTTGGGTACTGTGCGGCCCCTTTTTCGTGAACTCTAAATGTTGGGAATATGACTTAAAATTTAATATATTCACGGAACCTGGTGACTATTTAAGGGGAGACTATTATGAGTTTTAAAACTCACGGGCTATTCGAGTGAGATTTTCTGTACATTGAAGATCGATTATATGTGTCTAAAAATGAATATTTAGAGCAACAATTTTTTTTGTTTATTCTTCGTTTGCCTCGTAGACGCTTAAAGTGTTAAAAATAGTTCAGGGCCTCCAATTTTTGAGTTACAGAGGTTTTTTTTTTTCAAAATAAAAAAAAATGTGTACAATAACAATCACGATTTTTTTTAATTCGACGCCTACACAGGTAATTTCGTTTAGTTTAATATAACAATTTGCGTCATTCATGTAAAATAGGCAGAAAAATTATCCTTAAAATATTAAAAATGTATTTTCGATTCTTTCAGGAACATTTTTCAGGCTATTTTACATGAATGGTGCAATTTTTTATTGAAAAAATAACGGAATTAGCTGTGGGGCAGTTGAATTTCAAAAAACAAATTCGTCAATATTATTGAAAATTTGTTGCGATTTTTAAAAAAATTGAAAAACCTCTGTAGTTTAAAAATTGGAGGCCCTGGACTATTTCTAACATTTTAAGCGTCTGTGGGGTAAAGGAACAATAAACAATTTTTTTACACTTATTATTCGTTTTTAGACACAAATAATCGATCTTCAATGTATGAGAAATCTCATTCCAATAACCCGCGACTTTTAAAACTCATAGTAGTCTCCCCTTAATAGGGGGAGGGGGTTCCGCAATTGTTCTGTTCACCCTAGATGCTATATTAAAGACGGGAGATTTGATAAGAGGTCCGTATAATTTAGTCAGACATCGGCATAATCGAAATTTTGAATTACAGCTAAATTTGGAATAAAACAATTATTGATATTACTCACCAATTTTTTCATTTTATAAATATTGAAAAGAGCAAAAACAATTCGATCATATTACTGAACGATATAACTTGGGTTTATTATACTATGAGATCACTCTTCCTGGAGAGACCCGCCTGTGGGGTCTTACGACGAAACTCCAGTCAAATGTGTACTAAATAATATAAACATATGATAAAGCCTGGTGAGAAAGAAACCATGATAAAAAGGCTATGGTCTTTGTGACTTTGATATTCTTTATTCAGTTCTGCGACTGCTCTCGATGCGAGAACACGTCCTAATAAAAACCAAGTCTAATTGCTCTAACAAAAGTGTCTTTTATTTATTCACCTGGCTTCCAATAAACCAATAATAAATAACCATCAATTTAAATTTTCACATTCCGAATTATTTTATCAACCAATAATGAAAAAATTAAATTACCAATTATTAGGAGAGGCTGGGGTAAAATGGACACTTTTAACTTTTTTCAAAATGTTAATTAACATTTAATAACCCTTCATTAATGAGAGGTTGAAATGTTGATAAAATTTAATAATTTTTTTTTCCATACAAAGAACAACTCTCCCTTTGTGACGAGCCTAAACTCAGCTCAATTAATAAATTTGTTTCTGAGTTATAAATCATTTTAAAAAAGTCGAAAGTGTCCATTTTACCCCACCCTCTCCTATATCATTTTTCAAATTTCAATTACGATAAATAAATCTAAATTAATGTAAAGTGCAACTTCTCATAATACTACTAAAGTAATGATTGATGCCGATCTATGAGTTCAATAACACCTTTCCTTTTTCAATTCCAGTTATTAGCGAAAGAACAAGAAGTTGATGAGAAATCTCATCACTTAAAGTCAGCCCTGACTGAGATAGAAACCCTGAAGACCGAAGTGTCTCGACTGCGCAGATACGAGGATGAACTGAATAATGTACAGGTGAGTTTAACTGCTTAATTAAAGTTCACTCTTGCGGCGTTCATAAGTGCAACGATCTTCATCACCGTGAGAATCACTTGGCTTCAAATTTGAATTTTCATGTTTGAAATTTATTTTTTTAATTTTACTCACTACTTTTATTCATGATTCCACTCATCCGCTCATCATGTGGCTCATTATATTATCAGTAGTGATATGTTGATTTAGGACGACATTAAATATTTGTAAGTGATGGGGAGACACGTAGAGATTAGCATTCGAGGTGTTTGTACCTTGATAATGCTGACATTGTGAGAGACACGTTTGATTAGAGCTACACACATCGACGACTGCTTAGCATACGTTGTCAGCTGAAACGACTAGATTATTGAAATTGTATGCTTTCTCGTTTATTCCTCGCCCATTGCGGGGCTGCGGAGATCTATCACTCAGGCGTTTTTATTTTATTTTTGGTTTATTTTGTTGAGTTTTTGTGGAATTGAGAGATGGGAGTGATATTTTCTACATGAACTTAAGGCCCGGGTGGATTATCTTTTGAACGTGATGTTGGTTGTTTTTTTTATTTTGATAATGTGAAACGATCTCCAATTGCTATTCAGTGTTGCATAGCCCTGGAGTCTCAAAAAATTATGATTGTATGCAGCTGAAATGAGCAGAATATTCGTCAGCGGAAAATTCAATTTACTCGGAGAGAAATATTCAATAAAAATTACGTATCTTTTCCGTAATTCTGGAGTGAAATTTGGTTCCAAGAAATTTTATGGAACTGTCAAGAAATTTTTCCAGAATCTCCTGTGAAAAATTACGATACCGATTGTGAGTTCCGTAATTTTTACTGAACATTTCTCTCCGTGCTGGGGATATTTAAGTGTAGGAGAGTCAAATAATCATATCTGCAAATGTTCTTTAACCCTAGATTGGTCACCATGCGAGGGAATTGCCGCAACGTGTGGTTTTTTTCGTCTTGTCACCGGCTGGTTGACCGGAAAAATCCGAACGAATTTGAATTCGTCAATTAAAGTATCTGAAAAATTTGAGTATTGGTTTTTTAATATTACATCCCAAATTCTGGAAGAAAAAAAATCATTTCCAACAGTTGAACAATTTTTTCCCATGTTAAATGAAATTGCCCGTTGCGCGACGTTGGTGGAAACTCGTTAAACGCGCCCGGGCAATGTAGAGTGAATTCGGCAACGCTGGAGTCTAAATAACACGGCGGCAAACCCCGCGGAGGTGACCAAGTCCAAGTCCCCGTCAGGTGACCAAACTAGGGTTTAGCGCGAAAGAGTTTGTAGATTACTTAAAAAACATTTGTACACCCCTAGATTCGCCTAAGACAAATCTTCTGCTGTCGAATCTTTCGCTAGTGTTAAGTCAAGTAGCTTCATGTACTTGACTTTGAATTTACTTCCCTCTACTACGTTCCACCCCCCACGAAAACTTGTTCACCCATCAATTGGAAAAATCCTCAGAAAATAATCTCCAGAAAATCTCTCTATTCCACTCAACTCTCGAATATCGTTTTATTTTGTGCTTTGTGTTCTACCCGCCGTATCCGTATTCCTGTGAGTTCTATCGCACTATTTTCACGCTCCTGAAACCACAAAACAGATCCAACAACTGAAACCGTGTGTTCCATGGAAATCCATTGGAAAAATTTACGATTTCGGTCCCTCCAATGAATTTTTTAATGCATAAAAAACGCACATGAAGAGTCGGAAACAGTTTTTCCCCCCCACGAGAAACACCGGACGAACAGATTAGGCGGTCTTTTCCGCTGATTTGTCGCTGCTACTGCTGAAAAGGCTGGAGGTACGTTTTTTTTCAAAAACAAGAGAAAAGCTTTGCTGCTTTACAGCTTAAATCTCTCTTTTCTTCACAGAGAAAAAAAGTTTTGATTTTCAGGGATGTGTCGCCGTGTTCAGCGATCCATTCCTAATTTTTTGGAATTTATCCTCAATTTTTAGAGATTCGCGATTGTAAAATTTAATTTTGGAGTTCAGTGATTTTGTTATAAATTTTTAGTGACATTATTACTCGTTTCCAGGGACGTCGTCACTAATTTTCAGGGAAACATCGCTGATTTTCGGCAAAATTTCACAAATTTACAGGGACCCATTTTTAATGTTTAGGAATCTATCACCAATTTTCAGCCGTAGAAATCACAGATAAATTGCTAAAATTCCTACAAATTAGTGAGATGGGCTTAGAAATTAAGTATGTTACAATTTCATGAAAGATCTGTGGTGAATTGGTAAACTAGGATAAGTGCATTTTTTTCGAAAATGCTTTTTCATCACGCTGTGCGCAAAAGTAACTTTTCCCTTTTCCACACATTGTGATGAGAAACATCATTCGATACTCGTGGGAAAAGTGTTTTTTGGCTCATGGGAGGTTTATAGCACGAGCCGACGGCGAGTGATATAATCCTACGAGCAAAAAAACTCTTTTCCGCACTCGTAACGAAATATACTATTTTGTTGTTAAATCGCTTCCCAATAATTTGTGGAAGCGATTTAGCAAAAAAAAAAGTTTTAAAAATGCACTTATCCTAGTTTACTAATTACTTCTAATTAATTGAAAATCCATCCTGATTTAGTACTGAATATTCATATTTTGATTGAAAATTCAAGTCAGTTAGAGAATTATCGTCTCCTTGCTGCTCAATAATGCGGAGTTTCTATAAATTTCCAGTGAAACTTGAAATTTAATAATTTTTTCACCACTAAAGCGAATTTACTAATTGTGAATGCCACTGATTCAAAGGGACTCGTCTCTAAAGTTTAGGAATCTGTCACCAAATTTCAGTGATAAAAATCACTAATCATCAAGATTATTCTAGCCAATGTCCAATATCAAGAATAATTGATAGTAGATCCCTAAAAATCAGTGATATATTCCTGGAAATCGAAATTTTTTTTCTCTGTATCATCGCTTCGAACCGGTGTCTGGGTTTTGATAATCGACTGTGTGATAATGCGCATGTTTGGATCAAACAGTTGAGATTAACAATCTTATCTTTTATATTCACATAAGGCTTTTATCTTGAGCCACATTAACCGCATCATCTCATTTGGACTATTCTCCCTCCATTAAGAATTTCATGGATTGATTTTTTTTATTTTCTGGGTTTATTTGCTTTTGTGTGGTATGCTGAGCACTCAGAGGAATTATCATATTTTAATTGAGTGAAATATCCCATGAATGACAACTCGAGGAGAAGAAAGGAAATGACTGAAATGGTTGATAGCAATAGGATTTTTCGTTGATTTTTTTTGGTAAGAAGATCTCTCGACGGTTTTCTCTAAATTTAGTAGTCTCAGTATCATTTAGGTAATCGGAGAGCGAATTTTTTTTTTCGAGAATTTCCAAAATCAAACAAAAATTCACTGAGAAAACCCATTAGTTCTGCCGAAAAATTATATGTTCCCCTGGAGAGATCTTACATTTCCATTGAACTTTCTGTTAGTTTTTGGCCGATTCTATTGAAATTTTCAATAAAAAAGAATGTATAGAAAAAGTTAATATAGTTCGATTTTTCTATACAACTCATTCAATTAAGGTCTTTTCTATAGAATTTCCTCGGCTAAAATTTCCGAAAGTTTTTCCCATCCTATTTTTCTTTTCCTTCATCAAGAAAATCAAACAAAAAAATGGGAAAATTTGAGCCGAGGAAGTTGCATAAAACATATGTCAATAGAAAAAATTGTGTAAAAAAATCAAATTCCATTGGCTTTTTCTATCGAATATTTTCTATTGAAAATTATTTAACCCTCGATCACTCGCTCAATAAGCGCGGCGCCACCCGTTTTGGATCTTTTATATTTTACCGTGGTTTCCGACGCTTCAAAATTTTGAAAAAATTAGAGTTCCTAGATCAATCTTTTTATTAAGCGTTGACGTCCGTTTTATTCTCTGAAAATTTGTTTAGCTAAAAAAAGAAAAGAAACGTCGAACGGACAGAAACGAGCTCACTCGCATCGGGCGGCGCGGCCCCACGAGTCGCAGTGTTGCTACATCCACTGCCACCCTTGAAATGCGCGCATAGCGGTGAGCGCCAAGGTGGCAACAGCGCGCTCGGTTTAACGCAACGACGCCGCGCTAACCGTGCGACGGATGAAAGCTGCGGCCGAGCGCAAGTGATCGAGGCTTAATATCAATATTTTCTGTTGAACATTGCAATAGAATCGGCGAAAAACTAAGAAAGTTCGATAGAAATCCAATAGAATAGTCTAACAAATTCGCTAGATCTTTCTATTAAATTTTTTCGCGCGCGAAATGTACATGAAATATCAGAAGAGTCATCTCCTCATTCAATTGAAATACGAAATTCCTCATCATCCATCCACATCACAGAACAATCGGACAAAATGTGCGAATAATGCTTTTCGCAGAAGAACGCAAACTCCTAGCGAAACCCCAACCGACTAAAGAAAGCAACAAAAAATCAAAATTTCAGGATGAGATGGAAAGCCTTCGTCACACGACTCAGCGTGAAAAGGCGCAATTATCCGGGGAATTGGCCCAAACGAAAGAGGAAGTGCGTCACCTGATGGTCAAGGTGTTTGTCCTTGAGCAGAGAGTGGCCCTCGAGTCGAACAGTGAATCAAGTGTTGATGAGAGAATAGCAGATCTGATGAGAGAGAGAACACTCTTGGAGAGAAAGCTAGAAGAGGCGCATCTCCATTTGTCGGACATTAAGACCAGTTGGTCGGGGAAGATATCCTCGCTGGAGACGCAGGTCGGCAGGCTGAGCAGACAAGCCGGTGAAGAGGGTCTCGAGAGACGGAGGGTTGAGGAGGAAAAGGAGAAACTCAAACAGAGGGTTAAACAGTTGGAGGCGGAAATTGAGGTGAACAATGTTGTAATGGCAACGAAAGATGCTAAGCTTTTGCGCATGGCGGAAGACATCGACGAGATGGCTACGGAACTTAAAGAGCTCCGTGCCAGCGTTGATGATGAGGTCGAAGAGTTTAAACGACAAATTGTGAGTTACCGGGATTTCTAATCGTTTAGGTAGTCTGGTGGATTTGCATGAGGGGCTAGCAAGGACACGTTATTTTTTACTTTAAATCGGTGGAGTGGAACTGATTTTTATGTTGACACGGAGAAAAAACAGTCAGGGATTCCAGTGGAATCCAGTGGTTTCTCGGAGAATAAGAGAAAAAGTTATAGTTCTCAATCATTTTTATGGAAATCTAGTACCTGTGGAACTCAAGGGGTTTTGTATGAAAAGATAAGATGAAAAAAAGAAATTGAAAAACTTGTGGGAGAAATATCGGAATATGCTGCCTCATTGGGAATTTTTTTGGATTTATTTGCGATCTCGGCCTTAAGAAGAAAATTATATTTTGATGTTTTTGTTACCCTTCAATTATAAGGCCGAGGTGACCTCACCTTAAAAAAAATTCGATTGATTAATTGAAAATTAGAAAAATTCTAGTTTTCAATCAATGATTATAAAATATCGAGGCAAAATCTCTCCATAATTATTTTTTTTGAGCTATCTATTTCATGCAATTACTTTTGATTCCAGCACGATGGTTCTGGATTTCCGTATTGTGATGGTTGGAACCAGAAACTTTTGTTCTCTGTTTAAGGTAAACAGGTCAATTTCTGGACGGGGGTTTGTTTCTGGACGATTTCAACTTGCATTGAATACTCCATAAATAAAATGAAAATCGTACTGATTATTTCACCTTTCAATGATATTACTCGTGTCTAATCATGTGATCAATTATTTAATTAATCATGTGATCAATTATTTTTTCTATTGATCGATATTTAATAAATAAAATAAGATGTGGCTCAGTCGTCCAGAAATTAGGGATTTTGGCTGCATTCAATTATTTCTTAATTTACTTTGTTTTGTTATTTTCACTTCAAATAATTTTTTTCTGCTAATTAAAACATTCGTGAACGTATGGAAGCTATCATATCCCCATTTACGTGATGCTTTTCTTTAGATTCTACCACGAAACTCGAATTGCCCTTAACCGTCCAGCAAATGGCCTGTTCACCCTACATCACGGGCCTAAATCCGTCAAGAAAAAAATTTCCGATTCTAGAAATTGCGATTTCTAACATGCATTTTTATAGAATTAAAAAATCTGTTTCTCCATTCTAAGAAAAAGACATAAAATCAATTGTTTAGAGTCTAAATTTCGAAAAAGGAATTTCTTATTGCTTCCCCTTTAGGGAATTAAATCCTTTTAAAGGATGTAAATAATTCAGTTCCCTCCCCTTTTATAAGCAGCTAGAGAGAGTTAAAGTATTCATTTTTGACCTGTTTTCCTGATGTATCTTCAACCGTAGTTTGAGAAGACAATTCTCGTCTCTGCATTTATCAAGAATTCCAGTCCTTGTTTTATATTGTTTTGAATGAAAGAAGTTCATTATCGAATTCCACAAAAGTGCCTTCAAAAATTTAATTTACAGTCGATTTGCAAAACAGTTTAAGTAGATATGCGAAGTCTTCGTAATTATAATTATGAAGACGTGGCAGCATTACCGAAATATGCAGATATATCTTCACATTTCGCTAATGAGTGGTTTTGGGGAAAAAAATCAATTACTTCAGAGAATGATATTCTATTGATATTTTTGTATTTGCATTTCATTAATATTTTTCCTAAAACCACTTGTGCCTGCGATGCATGCCTCGAATTAGAATTAGAATTATTGAAAATACATAGATTTGCATGAAAAAATTGTCGTTAACGTGATCGACATGTGAGAGAAAATGGATTTGTCAATTATTTCCAAAGAATTTTAGCAGCTGATATTCACATGCAATTGTCATTTGACTTATAATTTCATTGTAGTAGCAAAGGTAGAGAATGTAATAAAAAATTTAATAGAAAAACCTAGCGAATTGGCTAGAAAATTCTATTGGATTTCCAATAAACTGGCTTAGTTTTTGGTCGATTCTATTGAGAAATTCCGCAGCTTATCTGCACTTTTTTCAATAGAAATGTTCTTCTCTTTTCTGTAGAAAATGTTCTAGAAAAGATCAATAGAATTAGATTTTTTCATACAATTTATGTTATTGAGATATTTTTTACAGAAATTCCTCAACAAACGAACAAATTAGAGTGATAACGACTTGGAAAATTTATGTCGAGGACTTATCGCAGAAAATCGTTCAATACTAAACACGAAAGACAATTTTATTGTATAGGAAGGTGACATTTTACTGATTTTTTCTACAAAATGGTTTCCATATGAAGAAACACGTAGCAAAGTGGCAAAATTCTTTAATAGAATCCACAAAAACTAACAGACAATAGGAATTTAATTCGCTGGGTTTAGCAATGAGATTTTTCGTGCGTACATACAAGGTGACGTCAGCACCTTCACGTATGAAAAAATCGTATAGAAATTTTCTATATTGAATATTTATACTTGGATATTTCTATACTGATATTTTTTTACAAATTATTTCTATACAATTTCTATAGATTTCTGTATATTTGATCCTATACAACCCACTGTCACATGTATAGAAATATTTCCTACAGAGTTGCGAAATTTCTCTGCGTTTTTCTCTGGAACCCTTAGACATCTTTCGTATGAAAACAAAAATTTATGTATAGAAATAATTCGTATAAAAAATATTCGCATAGAAATATCCGAATATCATATACGGAAATCCGTATAGAAAATTTCTATACGATTTTTTTATACGTGTTTACAAATTTCAGGGAGATGTAGAATAGAAAATCGGCAATTCAATGGTACAAAAATTATTAAATTCCGATAATAGACTTTCAAATCGTGAACATTAGGATTTTTCAATACTTCAGCCAATTACATTGCGATTGACTTCCGCCATGATTGGAAACGATGACGCAGTTGTCAATGGGAATTGATATGATAATTATTATCACTCTTCATGTTGATAAAATTATCGGTTCATGGTCGCAATGAACATTGCTCAAACTATCGCACATAATGGTGCTCCAACTATCGCCTACAATGTCGCTACAATCATCGCAGAGTAAACATCGCCATAATTGTCGTACCATCACCATTTTCAATCTTGACGGCATGGCGGGAAACTGCCATGATGTTATTGTGTAAATCGCTGAAAAATTCTAACGCTCACGATTCAAAAATTTATTATCGTAATGTTATAATTTTGATGCCATTGAATTACTGATTTTCGAGTATATTTTCTCACAATTTGTAAACAAGGTGCTGACGTCATCCTGTGTATCTTAAAACCAATTTTCATGTAGACCTAATTTTGTCATCTCCCTCGAGTTTCAAGATATTCAGAAGGAACTCATCTGACGTTTCATTTTCCCACTCCACTACTGATTCACATCATCAGACAAAATAATTCAATATGCCTCGAGATCAGTCTAACAGAACGACAGTTTTTTAATTCTCTGAGAGGCAAAAAACGTTATTCAAGGCCGCACAGTAGCGCATGATTCGCCTCGCTTAGTCGCACAATTTATTTCCTACTTTGCATAATTTTTTTATTCAATTTGCACTTCTGATTCCGATCATTCCGCATGCGAAGATGTTACCTCTCACGTTGCAACATTCCGCCATTCGCAGATAAAAGAAAAAACAGAATACATGACAACAAAACACACGTGAAATTATATTTTCGTTGATCCCTACCAAAAATATTTTCCATTACCAGAGAATTATGGAAATCTGGCAGCAGAATTTTTATGTACCACATTGTTATGTAAATTTTATTCATCGAAATAAAATTTATGAAAACGTAAGATTCATTATTTTTGCTTTATCTTTATTTTTGAAACCCAATTATTCTGTCCTTTTTCCTTACCCATCACTGAGCTTTTATTTTTAACACACAATAAAACGACACAAATGATTATATTCATGATTAAGTGACCCACATTTCTATTTCCGACTGATTTAATTATAACTACGATGGATAATATTATGATGTTTAGTATGGATTCCACCTAATGGCGACTATATTTACTGGAATCACGCTGGAAAATTAGAAAGGACGAATGAAGCTGAAATTAGCGGAATATTCGCCAGCGGAAATTTCGATTTAGGGAATTTTTGAGGCTGTAAGGGTCAAAATAGTATATTTCAGCTCGTGTGATTGGCAGCCCTCGGCTTTACCATGGGCCTACAGCTTCACATTTGTGAAAAATCCCCGTCGCACATGTGTCGAACTATATTTTTCATCACGCTGTGACGAAAAGTGAACTTTTCGGCACACTCCGCGTGCCTAAAAGTCCAATTTCCGCCACTTTGTGATGAAAAATATTGTTCGTAACTCGTGAAAAAATGTTTTTTAGCTCGTGGGATTATATTACTTGCCTTTGGCTCGTGATATAACCCTCCCACTGGCCAAAAAAACACTTTTTTGCACTCGTTACGAAATATACTATTTCATCACAATGTGACGAAAAGTGAACTTTTCGGCACAGCGTAATGAAAAATATAGTTCGGATACCCGTGCGACGGGGTGTTTTAACTCGTGTGATTGGCATATCCTATTTCATCACGCTGTATGGAAAAATAACTTTTTAGGCACGCTTCGCCTAAAGCGCTCTTTTTCCACGCATTGTGAAGAAAAATATCGTTCGATACTCATGGGAACAGTGTTTTTTGGCTCGTGGGAGGTTTATAGCACGAGCCGAAGGCGAGTCCCAACAACACTTTCGCACTCGTCCCGAAATATACTATTTTTGCATTCCTTTCTCATAAATGAATAATCAACACTTTTTAAGCTCTCGAAAACATTTTACGATAAAAAATCAGTGCCTGATAGAAATCTGAATATTCTTTCGTTACGATTCCGAGAACATGATGATACGAAATTGTTCCTGAATTATTCATGAAAAATATCGTTATCCTTAAAATTTGGAATTTTCTATTTACCTCATTAATTTTGCTCGAAAAGTCTTCAAAAAATGGTATGCGGTTTAAATATCCGGTCGAAAATATCCGGTAAAAAATCTCCGGTTAAAAATATCCAATAGTAATAATATCCAATTTTAGAATATCAAATAGCATTCCCATTGAGATGTGGAATCAATATGATCCTGTTATTGCTGATGAACCACGTACAAATAATAATATAGAGGGCTGGCATAACAGGTTTAATCAGCAGATTCGTGATGCTCACACCGAATTAGGTAAATTTGAGCAAGGAAGGGCTGAAAACGTTATGATTCAAAATATTGCTGGCAGATTTGGATATTTTATGGATTTGGATATTTTTGTTTTCGACATTTTTGCATTGGAAATTTTTTTTGGACGTTTTTACCGGATATTTAGACCTGGAATCCAAAAAATTAGAAGTTTAACTACAAAAGTTAGAAAGAATTCCAACTAAAGAAAACATGCCATAAAAAATTATCATTCAATGTTTTTCCGTGTAATTTTCTCAATTGATCAAGAATTTTTGACGTTTAATCAACAAAAATGTCACCTAAAAATGAAAATTAACTGTCGATTTCGTTATGAATTCGAACGAATGGAGCCATCAACTCAGTTAACGCTCCATTTAAAATTTTCTCAGGGATCATCAAACGAAGAGTTCGCGAAACTCAGGTCCGACTTGGAAGAGAAGACGAGACAATTGTCGGAAGTGCAAATAGAACTGGAGCAGTTGAAATTGGCCTGCGAGGCTGAGAAGTCCAACAATTCCTCCTTACACATGCAATTAGCACGATTGCGAGAGAACCTTGAGACTGAGAGAACATCGTTCGCGACCCTGAGGCTTTCCCTCGAGAAGGAACGCGACGAGAAGGACCTGGCGCTCCTCAGGAATGCTCAGGTGTCGCAGGACTTCGAGCTCGCGATGCAGGAGAAGAGGATTCAGGAGACTGAGAACGTGGAGCTGCAGAGTAAGATCGAGAGTCTCGAGAGGACGATGAAGAAGATGAGGCACGACATGGACGAGTCCTCGAGGAGTTTCGAGGAGGCCAGGGAGAGATTAGTTGTGTTCGAGCAGGCGGAGGACGACCGAAAGAAGAACGAGGAGATGGAGAGAACGTTGAAGAGTAATTTGTCGGATATGGAGGAACAGTTGAGCGATAAGACAAAGGTGAGTTTAAGGATATCCACGTTTTGCCGAAAATCTTGCCGTCCCCGAACTTTTTCGGATTTTTGCTTCCGAACGGAAGCTTTGGAATCGGAATTTTTTTTCAATCCCTAGGGGGTCATAATACCGAATTTTCAACAGAAAAAATTGAAAAACCTGACTTTTCAAAATTATGTCACCTTTTATTTTTTTCATTTTTTTTCAGTAATTCTTATCATCAAAACAAGTATTTTGAGTTGTCACACAAGTTGGGTTTTGTCCTCGGTCTGTTTTTTTTTCTCAATTTTTTCTTCTCGAAATTTCGTGAATCTGGTCAAAACGCCCCAAAACGATTTCGATTATGTATCGAAAAAATATGTAACATATATGGGCCTTTTTTTGAACCCCATATTTGACCACAATTTTCCGGGAATTTTACAATGATTTTATTCTGTACTTTGCAGGTCTGAATGTGAATTGAGATCAAATAAATCTTTTTGAATGAATTATTTCACATAATTAGAACCTTTGCAGTCGAAGTAAATAATAAATTTGTGTTGTAGACAATCAAAGTGCTTCAGCAGAGGCTAGCAGACATGAAGAAGACCCTTCAACGAGAATTACGAGTACCTTCATCATCATTGGACAGTGATGCTGAGCCACCTCCAGCAATACTCAATCCCAGTTCATCCAAAACTGTCACTGCCAAAAATTCCAGCGGCCAAGAGGAGGATGTCAACTTCAAATATCTCAAGCATGTGCTGATTAAGTTTTTGACGAGTAGGGAATACGAGGTAACAATATTTTTATTGCAATTTTCCCTCATTTGACAATTGCTTGATAAATTTTAAACTCAACCTAGTCGACACACTTCAAGATCCAAGCAATTCTATCGAAGAACATGTGATAATTTTCATTTATCCCCATTCTTTCCGTTCTGTTCATTTATCTGTTCATTGTGTTCATTTATCCCCGTTCTTTCTACAAAATTGCTCTATGAAACAAGCAATGAACAAATCTTGTAGAAAAATTACTCAATCCTCTCAGAAATCAAAATCATTCCATCGAAAAAATTGAAGAACTTTCCGATTTTCTTGTTTTTCAGGACGTGATGATGTGTTTTTTTTTTTAATTTTTTCAATAAAATTTTCTCATTCTTTTCTGTTTATCTATCTCTATTCCCTATACAATTTTACTCCACCCAACGATCCAACGATCTATTAGCAAATTTTGAAGAAGCATTACTCAATACTCCTAGAGATTTATAATCATTCTATCAAAAAAATAAAGAACACTCGTATGAAAAAATTTTGCAGAAAAAAATAGAATTAGATTTTGCTATACTCTTGCAATATCGATTTTGAAATATTTTCTATGAAAATTTCTCAATTTAACTTTTCCAAGTTTTTTAAATATTTTTCTTAATACAAGCAAAGTAAAATAGAGTGGAAAAACTTGGAAAATTCGAATCGAAGAAATCCTATAGGAAATTTCTGAATAGAAAACGTTGTATAGAAAAATGAGATTCCAACAATTTTTTCTAAACAAAATTGTTCGTCCAATTATCCGAAAACTAATTAGAATTTTCGATCGAAATCGCTGGATTTTCTTATAAAATTTTTCCACGCGCAGAAAACATCATTTTGTTCTTCAGAACGTAATAATTCTTTTTAACTCTCTGCTATAAAAATTCTCCCTTCTGTTCTGTTCATGGATTTCTATCCTCTCCAACAATCATTCTATTTTTTTTCAGGCTCTCCATTTGACCAGAGCTGTAGCCACACTCTTACACTTTTCACCAGAGGAAGAAAGACTGCTCCAGGAGACACTGGAATGGAAAATGTCGTGGTTTGGCACACGTCCAAATTTAGGATTCGGCCAGACAGCAAAAGCTATTCCCCCCAGCTGATAGTGAGGTGTATTCTCCGTTCAAGGAGAAGTGTCAATTCCAATGGGCCAAAGTGCCACTGACTTTGAATCATATTCCATTGATGAATCACTGCTCCCACTGTCACGATCTATTTTCGGGTAGAAGTTGAGAGATTGCAGGAATAGGAATGACCAAAATTCCATGAATTTTTTTAGAGCCAAGAACTTATGCCAATTACTTTAGATGGATATTAATTTGTATGATTTTGCCTGTGTGAGAACCCTTGTGACGTTTATGTGAATTACGTTTTGTACAAATTGCTTGTATATGTGACTACGAATTTGGAGGCGATAGTTTGGATTCAGGGGATTATTTAATTCCATATAAACGAGAAAACCCCACCGATTAGACGTAATTGTGATATGCTTGAGTATTTTTGGAGATGAGAATAGACAGTTGAGGGGAATTGTTCAGCTAAACAAATTTCGTTGGAAATTCCAGTAGAAATTCACGAGATTCGTGGGTCGATAAGTATTAATAAAACATTGCCAGTTTCAACATTTTCCTAGGAGAGATGGGAGGGGAGAGTGAGTAGAGAGGAGAGACGAATTTTGGGGACGAGACACGTTGAACGTGTTCCGACAGATTTCAATAAGGAGTTACTGTGCCTAATTCAGACATCGTACCATAGATCCCAACTGTCGATAAATTGTACATTAAATAAACAACATGAAACCATTCAATAATTTTATAGTTATTTTTTTCAATCCAATCAACTCTTTTCAATCCTTCTTTACCCGTATGTTTTTTTTTAATTTTTCAATTACGTTTTTCTTATAGAAAATGAACACAATAGAGAGAAAAAAAAATTCTTGTGTTAGAGTTCTTGTGATGTTCATGTGAATTACGTTTTGTACAAATTGCTTGTATATGTGACTACGAATTTGGAGGCGATAGTTTGGATTCAGGTGATTATTTAATTCCATATAAACGAGAAAACCCCACCGATTAGACGTAATTGTGATATGCTTGAGTATTTTTGGAGATGAGAATAGACAGTTGAGGAGAATTGTTCAGCTAAACAAATTTCGTTGGAAATTCCAGTAGAAATTCACGACATTCGTGGGTCGAGAAGTATTAATAAAACATTGCCAGTTTCAACATTTTCCTAGGAGAGATGGGAGGGCAGAGTGAGTAGAGAGGAGAGACGAATTTTGGGGACGAGACACGTTGAACGTGTTCCGACAGATTTCAATAAGGAGCTACTGTGCCTAATTCAGACATCGTACCATAGATCCCAACTGTCGATAAATTGTACATTGAATAAACAACATGGAACCATTCAATAATTTTATAGTTGTTTTTTTAAACCTATTACTCTTTTCAATCCTTCTTTACCCGTCTGTTTTTTTTTAATTTTTCAATTACGTTTTTCTTATAGAAAATGAACATAATAGAGAGAAAAAACATTTGCACCCTCCCCTAACGGAAAAAACTTGGAAAATCCGTGCCTAATAATTTTAGGGCACCTATAGAAAACTCGAATTCTAATAATTTTTTCAATACAATATTTTTACTGAACATTTCAATAGAATCGGCTGACAACTAATTTAAATTAATGGAAAATCTAATTCAAATTGGGTTTTATCAACCATTATTAACACATTCCTCAACGTGAGGACAATTTCGATCTTTAAAAATAATAGAAATCTAATAGAATTATCTAGCAAATTCGCTAGGCTTTTCTATCAAATTTTTTGTACCTTAAAGTTTCGAGAATTGAGTGTGACCTAAAGAAAATATAATTCAACAGGGAGTAACGAATTACTTACAGTTTTTCTGGCAATAATTTCTTTCGAAGGCTTCGCCGCCGGAGTGCTAATTGCAAGTTTCATGCTGCAACTTGAATAAAACATGACAACACCCCCTCTCGCCTCCAGCGCACACCGACAGTATGCGAATGGCATCGAACACGGACTTGACTCACCTCCGAGCCCTTCATGCATGCAGTGATGTCGTCGCGACACTGACAGCAGAGCTCGGGGGTTATGTATCCACCCAAACATTACCGAAAAAAATGATCCTAAGGAGTTTCCAGAGTCAATGGATGCTGGGAATACTACTGGTTATTGTTATTATCTATTTTAAGTTGAAGATACACTCGCTGGAGGAGCAGAACAAGCTGTTGGGTGTGTTGCCAGTGTTTTTTTAACCTCTTTTCTTCCGACGGGGTGAGTCAATTAGGCTATTTTTTTTTCGTTGTTTGCTGTTCACAGTGGAGACTGTGACGAGAGTGCAGAACCAACTGAAGAATGGGGCTGGTGCAGCTGAGAGAAAGATATCAAAATCAAATGACGTTGTCGTGATATACAATAGGGTTCCCAAGACTGGATCGACCAGCTTCGTCGGTGTTGTTTATGATATTTGCAAACAGAACAAATTTCATACTCTGCATATTAATGTCACTAATAATATGCACACGCTAACTCTTCCTAATCAGGTACAGTGATATTACATCATCACATGGATTGTGAATTTTGTTGATTAAAAAATTCCACGGATGACAAAATTTAATAGAAATATAAAGTTCTTTCTTCAAGATATTTTATTTAATTTCTATTGGGATTGGACAAGAATTCTCGTGACGTTTTATCAGAATTCGACTTATTTTTTGCGCCATTTTTATGAGAAATTATGCAATTTTGCGATGTCATTTTTGTCAATAGATTTTGAGTTTTCTATACAATTTCTTAAGCGCAAATATTCTAAGTTTTCCGCAGTATTTTTTTATCATGACAAAATTTCTTTCAAAAAAAGAAAAACAGAAAAATCATGCCCAAAAATTCTTGGGGGACATAACTCAGAAACAAATTGACCAATTGAGCTCAGTTTAGGCTCGTCACAAAGAATTGCTCTTTGTATTGAAGAAAAAATTATCAAATTTTATCACCATTTCAACCCCTCATTAACATTTAAAAAAAAGTCAAGTGTCCGTTTTACCCCAGCCTCCCCTATAGTAAAAAAATTTCAGCAGAATAAATTATATTGCGCCAATCCTATTAATGGAATTGGCGCAAGAAAGAAATATGTGATTATGAATTTTCTATTTGGGGCAATTTTCTAATGATGCAAAAACGACACAATTTTGCAATGTCATTTTTATCAATAGATTTTGAGTTTTCTATACAATTTCTTAGGCGCAAATATTCAAAGTTTTTCCGCAGTATTTTCTTCCTCATGACAAAATCAAAGAAAGACAAACAGAAAAATCATGCCCAAAAATTCTTGGGGGACGATGGGGTAACACGGACACTAGACATTTTTAAATTATTTATAACTCATAAACAAATTGACCAATTGAGCGCAGTTTAGGCTCGTCACAAAGGGAAAGAATTGCTCTCTGTATTTAAGAAAAAATTATCAAAATTTATCAACATTTCAACCCCTCATTAACATTAAAAAAAAAGTCAAGTGTCCGTTTTACCCCAACCTCCCCTATAGTAAAAAAATTCCAGCAGAATAAATTATACAGCGAGATGTTGCATATTTTTTAACAGAATTGGCGCAAGAAAGAAATATGTGATTATGAATTTTCTATTTGGGGCAATTTTCTAATGATGTAAAAAGGACACGTTTGACATTTTTTGAAATGTTAATGATGATTCATTGGATTGTTAGTGGAATGGGTTTTTCCCTCGAGTATAAATAAGAGAAAATACTTGATTAATACTGGCAATTTCGATCACGACAATGATTTTGTTTGTTACAGGTGCAATTTGTAAATAATGTTACCCAATGGGATTCTATGAAACCAGCTTTTTACCATGGCCATATGGCTTTTTTAAATTTTAATAAGTGAGTTATTACTTTTATATTTCTCTTTATTCTGGCTCTTTTCTTCAATAGTTGATTGAGCATCCTTTATTCTGAAAGAATTCCAGTATCTTTTATTCAACTTTCATGAAATGAAGAGGTTTATGAAACAGGGCTATTCTTACTTTTTTGTGAAGAAATTATTTGAATACATTGTTTAGGCGTTAAGGAGTTGAATATATAATAAATTTCATAACTTAATAATTTCATGTTTTTAATCACGTTCGTTTTCTCCATTTATTCAGAATAATGTCCATTCTTTTATGATTACATTCATCTAATCGTCTTGAAAGCATCGTATTTCAATACTTTTTTTTATTATAAATAAACAATTTACAGGGTTTCAATCAAAATTTAGACTTTTTGAAATATTTTGTTACTAATTTACAAGATTGCTGCCATATCATCATTCTTATTTTATTAGAGACTTCATATCTTATCTGCGATTATTGAATAGCCCAAACGAAGAACTACTGTCTTTTATTTCGCATAAAACGAACATTTTTCGGGAGAAAAATTCGTATGACGAAGAGGTAGTGCTCGAAATAGCATTTCTGGTTTTCACGGAGAATACAATTTTTTTAAACAACTAAATCTAGTTTTGCGACATAAATTTTCCATATCAGGACAGTTTTCAATCGGTCAGCACTAGATTTTTTTTTATTTTTTGTAATTTTCAACCTACGATTTTTTAGTTCAAACAAGACTTGTTTGAAAAAATATTTTTTCTGTACTGCTTCTCACGATTTCTCGTCTGGGAATTGGTATTACATACTTCCCAAACTCAAAAACTTGAAAATCACTACAGAAAAATATTGTTCCTGGGCTGTTGCGATGGGGTTTTTTTACTCGTGTGGTTGGCCACTCCTCGCCTACGGCTCGGAGGCCAACACCACACGAGTAAAAGACCCCATCGCAACAGGCCGAAAAAATACTATTTCTCCTTGTTATACAATGTTTTGATAATTTTTACAGATTTGGTGTAAAACAAACTCCCTTGTACATAAATCTCCTTCGGAAACCCCTCGACAGATTCGTCTCTTACTACTATTTTCTCCGATACGGTGACAATTTCCGACCACATCTGATGAGAAAGAAACATGGGGATACGAAGACCTTCGATGAGTGTGTGAGAGATTCACAAGCTGACTGTGATCCTAACAATCTGTGGCTACAGATACCTTTTTTATGCGGCCATAATCCTGCTTGCTGGTAAGAAAAGGAAAGAATGTTCCAACATCAAGAATTATTCTCCAAATTTTGCTAATGTTCACTTATAGAAACGTTCCGTAGAAAAACCTAGTGAATTCGCAAGAAAATTCTATTGATTTTCAAAAATTCCGCACCTTCCGTGCACATTTTATTTTATTGAAGAAATCAATAAAATTTAATTTTTCTAGACAACTTTTCTAGACTATTGAAATTCTCTTCACAATAAAACTTGAATAAAAATGCAACAGAATTTTCTATTGAATCTGCAAAGTTTTTCTATGAAAATTTTTTACACTTCTTTATTGGACGATTCATAATTTCAGGGAAGTTGGGAACAAATGGGCTTTGGAAGAAGCCAAGAGGAATTTAGAGAAACATTATTTAGTGGTTGGAGTTACAGAGGAGCTGGGTGAGTTCATTGAGACACTACAGGCTGTACTTCCACGATTTTTCAAAGGGGCTCTAGATTATTTTCTTCATAGTGAGTACAACAATAAATTGTTTTTTCAAATGTAAGAATTGTAATTGCAAAATTATTTTGCGAGTGGGTAAAAACATTAGGTTTAGAGGAAAATATCAAGTGATTTTTCTAAAAATTCATTAAATTTTATGGATTTAGATTGAAGAAAAACACTAAATTCAAGGAGATTCATGATTTTTAAAGGGGCTTATGATGATTTTCTCCGTAGAAAATATATTACTAAAAAATAGTTTTTCAAAAGGCTTATGATTACCTTTTTCATAGTAAATACAACAAAAATACAACTAAAAATTATTTTTTTAAATATAAAAACTATATTTGCAAAATAATTTTACAAGTGCATCTAAAATCATTCAATTTTGAGGGAAATATCAAAGATCTTCCTCAAAATTCGTTGAATTTTTCACGCAAAAAAAACATCTCATGACAAATTCTCCTAGATCTCTTCTTCTCCCACAAATTTTCAAAATAAATTCATGACACAATTCATCCAATTTTAGATAGAAAAAAAACAAACGCTAGAGAAATATTTCCAATTTATTTTGACAACTAAATGACGATGAGAAATTAATTACACATGAAATTAATGAAAATGGTCTTTCCTGTTATAGGCAACAAGTCGCATTTACGACAGACAACTCAGAAGATGAATCCACTTCCAGAGACGATAGAAAAAATTGAAAATTCAACCGTATGGAAAATGGAGAATGAACTTTACAAATTTGCCCTCTCTCACTTCCATGCTGTTAAAAAGCGATTAATCAATGCTTCCCCACAAGACTTGAATCAACACTTCATGTACGAGAAAATACGACCAAAATAAAAAACTAATAATTCTTTTTGATAATCAAATGTTTTTCTTCGGATGAACACCAACAGATTTTTTTCAACATTGTCTACTTGTTTAGAGTTTGGAGATGTGTTGATGATTTTTTTAAATCCCTCAGAGCAAACATGAACACTGGATACAATCCCCTGGGCATGTGGAGTTGCTTCTGCTCCTTGATGCACTCCAGATTAGCTCTCTTGAATAACGACTTGAAATTATCGTAGGGCCTCGTCATCGACGAATCCTGGGTGTCGACTTCTACGTGATTCGAACTCGTCACGTTCTCTTTGACGATTAAAACTCCATTTTCTTTTAGACCATTTCTGGAAAAAAAAATTAGGGGAGACTGCTATGAGCTTTTAAAATCATGGGCTGTTGGAGTGAGATCTCTCATATGTTAAGGATATCTAAATATTTTTTACAGTTTGGTATAGACCACACTATAGATTCAACTATTTTCAATAATCAAATTTGTCAACTTAAGGCCCGCGTGTACTATCTTTCGAATGTTAACTGTTAGCTTGGTAAAATTTTAAATATGAATAAATTCGTTACGATTTCAAGTGATTGTTATGGTGGAAAATTGATTGTTTATAAATTATTTATAGAAAATGCTCGTAATTTTCATAAATTGCACTTTTTAATTAACTAGATTACTCCGCGCGCTTTGCGCGCGTATGTCCATGGGGCTTAGTATATGTCAGTGTAGTGAATAGTGTTATATTAGATTTCTCAAGTTAATATCAAGTTTTCCGAAGGAAAAGTTTCAGGAATGTATTGTATTTTTTAAAAATATATAATACATCCACTGTGACGTTTTTTGATGCGGATCTATTCGGCGTATTGTTATTAAATTTTTTATACATGATGATAGCATACATTAAAGAGATTACGATAATACTATATTTCCCACTTCTGACACCAATTGAAACGCACGTGGATTAATAAAATACGTTTATTAAAGAAATAAAATAATCCGATGACAAAACGTCAAAATTATAAATCAGGAAAAAAATGGAAAAATCAATAATAAAAAAAGGGAAGCGCTAACTTCAGAGGAGGGTTCTACATCGAAAGAAAAGAATTAATACCCGATAAAATGCATTGAAGAAGAGAGATTTAGAAATTCATAACAATATTCTATATTAAACTATATTACAAATACTATGTATAATATACGATATATAATAGAGTAGTCTATCTATTATAAAATAGTATAGTATAGAATATAATATAATATAGTATTACTCTAATATCTTTAATGTATGCTATCATTATCACTATCATCATTTATAAAAAATCTAATGACACAATACGCCGAATAGATTGGGTTGGAAAAACGTTACACTGGATTTTTTATTAAAGGATTCAACACTCACATGCATTTCTGGAAGAAATCAACTAAATCATCGTCTTGGAGATGTCCCAGAACCCACTGACACCAGATGACGTCATACTTTTGTGGCTCAGGGGAAAAATCTTGTAAACCTGGAATGACAATTGCATGGTTTATTACGCCGAAAATTTGTTATAGAAAAATAAAAATATATTGACTTTTTTCTATCAAATATCTCTTCAAAAGATAGAGAGGTAAAGTTGGATAATCTTGAATAGAGTTGGCTAAAAAAAACAACATAATAATTGAACAGAAAAGAAATTCAATAGCATTTTTTCATTCATGAATTCATTTATCCAGAGGATAGGGGAGGGTGGGGTAAACGGACACTTTAGACTTTTTTATTATTATTCATAACCCAGAAACAAATCGATCAATTGAGCTCAGTTTAGGCTCGTCACAAAGGGAACGAATTGTTCTTTGTATTGAGAAAAAAAAATATTAAATTTTATCAACATTTCAGCCCCTTATTAATATTTTAGAAAAAGTCAAGTGTCCGTTTTACCCCAGCCTCCCCTAATATTTCCCGATTTTTGGATTTTATTGCGAGAAAGGATTAAATATAGAGTGGAACCAAACTTGGAAAATTGTCTCCGAAAAATATCTACAGAAAAATAAAAATCTATTGACTTTTTTCTATCAAATATCTCTTCAAAAGATGTCATGGTAAAATGCATAATCTTCAATAGAATTGTCGCAGAAAACCAACAGAATATTTTGATAAAATTTTAGCAAAGTCCCAATAAAATCCTCATAGAGTTCCAAAAGAAATTCAGGCGAATTTCTAAGGAAAGCTTTAGATTTTCCTATGAAATTTTTCATTCATGAATTTACCTAGAGGATAATATTCCCCAATTTTTTGTGAACAACCTGACAGTGACTCCTTGGCAGTCTCCAGAAATTTACTGTTCTGTTCAACTAGATCCACACGTTTGAAATGTTTAACTAACAGATTTTTTGTTATTCTTCCAATGCCACTGCCGCAGTCGACTGCATAATTCTTGTCCGGTGGATTTTTCAGCTGTAAAAAATACAAACAACCACTTTGAAATATGTTCCTCAATATTGTTTTCATTGGAAAAATTGGATTAAACAATTTTTCTGTGACGTATTCATCGAATAATTATTTTACCTTGAATAAAGACTTCAGAAATGCCTGGGACCCATCGATATCTGTATGCGAGATGAACCCAAAACCCCCCAGCATGCCATCAACAGTGGCTGGCACCTTCTCCCAATACCTGGCAGCATCGGAATAAAATAACTTGGAGTCACAATTCCCATCGCTTTCCTTTTCGACGTCTTTGCATATCTCGCTGGTGATCATTTCTTCGTTCAACATCTTTATTCGAGGTGATGGATAAATAAATAAAATGTGACAGCTCGGAGCTACATAACCATAATTCATTTAACATGAGCATAACCCATCACAACATGCACTTGTTGCCCCACTCCTCAGGTCGGGTGGTTGACCGCGGTTCCGCTCCGAATTTGAAAATCAATAACAGAATTTGGAGGGGAGTAATTAGGCGGAGACGGAAATACAAGTAGATTTCCCGTGAATTTATGGTTTTATAAAAAAACGCTCGAAAAAAATCAACAGGAAAACCTTCGTTCAATAGAATTCGTTAGGAAGTTCTATTGAACTTCCTAAAATCTAAATCGACTTTTGGTGACAGGAATTTGGTAGTCGAAATTAAGACTTAGAAATTGAGGGTCACAAGGGTCATGAGGATCAGAATAAGGGCCACAAGGGTCACTAGAGTCAGATTAAGGGTTAAAATAAGGGTCACAAGGTTCAGATAATAAGGATCATGGGGGTCATATGGGGGATGTCGAGCAGCCATGCACGAAAAAATTTAATAGAAAAACCTATCGAATTCGTTAGAAAATTTTATTGAATTTCTATCAATTTTTCTACTAGTTTTTGGCTGGTTCACTGGTCTTGTTAAACTGAATTTAGATCTGTATTTCACATTTTTGTAAGAACTTTGAAACTGTGGTATCTAATAGGGGAGGTTGAGGTAAAACGGACACTTTTTACTTTTTTTTAAATGTTAGTAAGGGGTTGAAATCTTGATAAAATTTAATAAATTTTTTTCAGTACAAAGAATAATTCTTTCCCTTTGCGACGAGCCTAAACTGAGCTCAATTAATAAATCTGTTTCTGAGTTATGAATAATTGAAAAAAAGTCCAAAGTGTCCGTTTTACCCCACCCTCCCCTATACTTTCCATCTAGTTCGCTAAATTTTCCCACAAAAATTTTCCCGTGCATGTCCCCCCAGCCTCAATTTTCCCTGCGCAGCCCCAAACCCCTGCACCCCAAGAACTGACCTCCCCGAAATTCAAATCCCGCGAATTCTGTTTTATCGATGCACCCCCCCCCCCCCCCNCAACGCCAGCGAGTGTGTATAACCATGTATAACACTGCAGTAGTGGAATGATCGTAACAGGCCGGTCTCCTAGGATCCCGCTGGGAGCCGAGCCGAGCCGAATAGAGAATAAACCTCGAAAGGTGTAGGTTGCATTTTAGTGAGAGACCACCGAATGTGCCCGGGTGGGTGTTAAAATCCAGCGGCAACGTGCCCCGCAACAACCAGCTCACCAAAGCCCCCAACAATCCCCAAGTATCTCAACAAAATAGCCCATCGTTGTGCATTAATTTCCCATTGTGCCATGAGTGTCTCTCGTTGGGGCATTTAAACGAATAAATTATTCTCATAAACACATATGTCGTGAGGGCCTGGGACATTGTCATCGAAGAGTGCCACCCAGTCTCGAGGCATTTGTTGCGACGACTGTTGACTCGTTAAACAAAAATTGTCACATTTTTCTCTCGACATTTTTCCTTCTGTTGAGATATCGAACGTCGAGTGGGACGTTAGTGCTGGGTGTTGCGAGCATACGCCTCGAGGAAGCGTTTACGGTTGGGCTTTCACAACCACCAAATGTGCCTGACTCTTGTGTTTATTTGTCGAATAAATAGTACAGATGAGTGTGAAAAAAAAATCAGTGACAGCCATGGATATTGACTGTCCAATTGTTAGTCTCAAACGTTCTAGTAGTGCTCCTATGATTAATGAAATCAGTGCCACTATGTCCGTCAGCTCACCTTCCACATCTGCGCCGAGGTATGATTGCAATTATTTATTGTTTAGTTTAGGGGTGGGTGGGGCTAAATGGACAGTTTTGAGTTGTTGTTGAGAGGTCTTAAGTCTGAAATAAATTTATCAACTGAGCTCAGCTTGGACTCGCCACAAAGAGGGAGAATTGCACTTTGGGAGGAGAAATTGGCACATTTTGTGGAGAGTCGAGTCAATTATTGATATGAAAAAAAGTCAAAAGTGTTTATGTTGTTTTTTGGGGGCTGGGGCACTGGCCTGGGAGGCGGCATGGGGTTTGCTTGGTAGATGCTCTTTTGGAGCAGAGAACTTGGTTGGATTAGGTGGATTCGGAGCGCAGTGGAGACGAATTTATTGACCACTTGCTTCAGTCCAAATCGTAGATTTTTTCGGGGTCTAGAGGGGTTGGAGGGCTCTTGGAGGCCGTGGGATGGTTGAGGGTCGGTTTAGTTGGAAGTGAGATTTGCCATTATCCGAGGGCATTGGGAGGGCGATTTGGGTGACGAGTGGTGGGATTTAATAAAGTCGTCGAGAGGTTTTTGATTTTATGGGTTTTTTGATGCTTTAGAAATCCGTATAGGGGAGAGTAGGGTAAAATGGACACTTTTGACTTTTTTTGAATGTTCATGACTTGTTGAATTGCTCATGAAATGGAATAATTTTATTCTTCAATAGAAAGAACAATGATCCCTCTTTGTGATGAGCTTAGACTGAGCGCAATTGATAAATCTGTTTCTGAGTTAGGGGAGAATGGGGTAAAATGGATACTTGTGACTTTTTTTTAAATATTCATAACTCATAAATATATCCATCAATTGAGCTCAGTCCAGGCTCGTCATAAGGGGGAAGAATTGCACTTTTTATTGAAAATAAATTACTCCATTTCATCAACAATTCAATAAGTTATTGGTATTTGAAAAAAAGTAAAAGGTGTCCATTTTACCTCAGCCTCCCCTATGAATATTTTTTAAAAAGTCAAAAGTGTCCATTTTACCCCATCCTTCCCTAGTAATTATTAGCTTAAATACTATTTAGGGGAGGTTGGATAAAACGACACTTTCGACTTTTTTTTTAATGTTAATGAGGGGTTGAAATGTCGATAAAATTCAATAATTTTTTTTTCAATACAAAGAACAATTCTTTCCCTTTGTGATGAGCCTAAACTGAGCTCAATTGATCAATTTGTTTCTGAGTTATGAATAATTTTAAAAAAGTCTAAAGTATCCGTTTTACTCTACCCTCCCCTATTTTGTTTTATTGGTTGCTACAATTTATTCTAGTGAGATATTTTATGTAGAATTGCCTCCGCTCAAATGTTCTAATTTCTTTCATTCTATTTTTCTTTTCTTTCCATCAAGAAAATCAAACAACGAAATTTAAAAAATTTGACTCGAGGAGATTTTGTAGATTTTTTTTATTGATCATTTCAATAGAATCGGCCAAAAATTAATAGACAGTTCGTCGTTTTAGTGGGAAGTGAGATTAGAGATGATCCGGGACATTGGGAGTGCGATTCAGTTGGCAAGTAGTGGACGGAGTAGTTCTAGGGGAAAATCACACACGAAAAAATTTTATAGAAAAACCCAGCGAATTCGGTAGATAATTTTGATGGATTTCTATTGAACTTTCTAGTAGTTTTTGGCCGATTCTATTGAAATGTTCAATAGAAAATATTTTATAGAAAAAGTCAATGGAATCCGATTTTTCAACACAATTTAAACTCTTTTTATTAATGTTTTAGAAATCCGTTTAGAAATTATTAGCTTAAATACAATTTATTCTTTTTTTATTGGTTGCTACAATTCATTCTAGTGAGATATTTTCAGTTGTAATACCCCGAGACCTTCAAAATTATCGGAATATTTCCCGATAGCTTCGATGGAAACAAATGCAAGTGTCAAGTTTTGCAGGCTAAAAATCCCGAGTGCGCAGCACGAGGCTGTTTGCAGGGAAGCTTGCGGGAAATATTGCGATTAATTTTGAAGGTCGAGGGGTATTCGGCGGAGAATTTTCCGGGACTGGATTTTGGCCAAGCGGAGCGCAGTATTCGAGGGCTTCTTCCAGCAAAACATCCAATTGGTTAGAAATAAATGAATAGCTACTATGCAATTATCAGATGCAATTTCCAGAAGCTAGTGTGCAATTTCCTAAAAAAAATTGATAACAAAAGTGTATCGTGACCTCGAATACTGCGCTATGATTGGCTAAACTCCAGTCCTGGAAAATTCTCTGTAGAATTGCCTCAGCTGAAATTTTCCAAGTTTTTTTCATTCTATTTTTCTTCATTTTCATCAAGAAAATCAAACAACGAACCTTAAAAAATTTGACTCGAGGAAATTCTGTAGAATATTTGTTATTGATCATTTCAAGAGGATCGGCCAGCAATTAAGGGTGCCAAGTGAATTTGGCGATGACNATGTGTTCAATGTGATGGCGACAAAAAACAATGGGGTACCGGGGTGAATAAGAGAGATATTTCAACCCGCCGTACCCATTTGATCCCATGCTTTCTCGAGGTTCGTCACGCGAAATAGAGGATTTTCCGCATTTATTTTCTCGATGTCTAGTTCCGGTTGCGGGTTTGAAATTTCGTCGGATGGATGAATACATATTTCTCCAATGATGGAGGGAAAGAAAACATTTTTTAAAAATCTTTTTTCAAATTCACTTGACACTCTTAATAGACAGTTTGTCGTTTTAGTGGGAAGTGAGATTGGAGATGCTCCGGGGGCATTGGGAGTGCGATTCAGTTGACAAGTAGTAGTATATTTCGTAACGAGTGCAAAAAAGTGTTTTTTTTGGCGAGTGGGAGGTTTATATCACGAGCCGAAAGCGAGTGATATAATCCCACGAGCTAAAAAACATTTTTTCACGAGTTACGAACAATATTTTTCATCACAATGTGGCGGAAATTGGACTTTTAGGCACGCGGAGCGTGCCGAAAAGTTCACTTTTCGTCACAGCGTGATGAAATAGAATTTAATAAAGTCGTGGTCGAGACGTTTTTGATTTGACATTTTTTTTCTGGACGGAGTGGTTCTAGGGGGAAATCACACACGAAAAAATTTAATAGAAAAACCTAGCGAATTCGGTAGATAATTTTAGTGGATTTGTATTGAACTTTCTAGTAGTTTTTGGTTTTTGGCTGCTTGAATTGAAATTTTCAATAAAAAATATTTTACAGAAAAAGTCAATAGAATCCTATTTTTCAATACAACTTATACTTTTTCTTTATTAATACTTTAGAAATCCGTTTAGAAATTATTAGCTTAAATACAATTTATTCTGTTGCGATATTTTCTGTAAAATTGCCTAAGCTCAAATGTTCTAATTTTTTTCATTCCATTATTCTCTTCTTTTCATCAAGAAAATTAAGCAAAGGAAATTTACAAGAATTACTCCACGAAATTCTACAGAAAATATCTCAATAGAGTCAGTTGTACAGAAAAATCTAACTCTATTGACTTGTCAAAAATGAATTGAAGTTCAATAGAAATTCAATAGAATTGTCTAGAAAATTTACTAAAGAGTTGGAATTAAATTTTGTTGGAATTAGAACAATAGTTGGAATTGGATTTTGGAGTGCAGTGGAGACGAATTTATTGACCACTTGCTTCACTCCAAATTTTAGGTTTTTTCGGGGTTTGGTTTGCTCTTGGATACATTGGAATGGCATTATCTTACGGGGAATTGGGCGGATGTTTGAGGGGTCGTTTTAGTGGGAGATTGGAAATGATCCGAGGGCATTGGGAGTGCGATTTGATTGACAAGTGGTGGGATTCAATAAAGTCATAGGGCAGATGTGTTTGATATTTTATGTTATTGTTTATTTCTGCGGTGAGGGGGGGGGGGATGGCAACAGACCTTTTTCGTAGCTGAGATTTTTAAAAGAAACAGTTTCGAATATTTCCCCTGAAACCAATCAAGATCGAGGAAATTCGACATTCAGCGCGATGGGAGGAAAAGACACGGACGAAAAAATTTAGTAGAAAAACCTATCGAATTCGTTAGGAAATTCTATTGAATTTCTATTGAACTGTTCATTAGTTTTTGGCCGATTCTATTGAAACGTTGCGTGTAAAAAACGTAGAAAATTTGAGTCGAGCAAATTCTATGGAATTTCTATTGAACAGTTCTATTAGTTTTTGACCGATTCTGTTAAAATGTTCAACAGAAAATATTCAGTAGAAAAAGTCAATAGAATTGAATTTTTCTGTATAGCTTATCCTATTGAGATATTTTCTATAGAATTTCCTCGGCTCAAATTTTCAGTTTTTTCGTTTGATTTTCTTGATGAGAAGAAAAGAAAAATAGAATGAAAAAAACTGAGAAAATTTGAGTCGAGCAAATTCTATAGAAAAATATGAAAAGAATAAGTTACATAGAAAAATCGAATTCTGTTGACTTTTTCTATTAAACATGTCAATAGAATCAGCCAAAAACTAATAAAAAGTTTAATAGAAATTCAATAGAATTTTCTAACGAATTCGATAGGTATTTCTATTAAATTTTTTCGTGCGTGAAGTTGGAATAATTGCAATTTACTCATCTCCATATTTTTTTTAATGGCCGTTTATCGTGGAAATGAGACTCTCAGATACGAAAAACTTACTTTAGACAATTTCTCGCAACATTCGTCGTAAAAAGAATCATTTGATATTGAAGAAACTGTCAAATTGTTAATTTTTGAATGAATGATGTGAATCGATATGCATTTTTTGCCTTTCTAAGGAAAGCAAATGAAGGAGAAATGTTGGGAATAGATGTTTTGTCGTTCATGAGATTACCAACCAATAAAAAAAATTGCATCTGACGCTTTCCTATGAAATCACTCAGTTGTGAGGTCATTCGATATTTAACGAGATGGGAGGAGAAGAGTTGGAATAATTGCAGTTTACTCATCTTGATAGTTTCGTTGAATTTTTATTTATCGTGAAAATGAGACCCGTAGATACAAAAAGGTCTCCGGCATTGAGAGTGCGATTTGGTTGGGAAGTGGTGGAATTTAATCAGTCATAGTCAAGAGTTTGGGATTTTATATTTATTTATGAAGAGAGTGGTTCTAGAAAGAAATGGCGAGATACATATTTCGTAGCTGAAGGGGGTTTTAAAAAAACAATGGTTTTGGATATTTCGTTTTGGATATTTTGAAATTTTCAGTATCAAGAAAATTCAACATTCAATGAGATGCGAGAAAAGGAGTCGGATGATTGCAACTTATTCATCTCCATATTTTTTTTAATGAGCATTTATCGTGGAAATGAGACTCTCAGATGCCAAAACTGAACTTTTGAGATTTTTTTCTAAAATCCGTCGTAAAAGGAATCATTTGATATTGAAGAAACTATCAAATTGTTACTTTTTTAGATGTTTTCTGTAGAATTTCCTCGGCTCAAATTTTCCAAGTTTTTTGTTTGATTTTCTTGATGAGAAAAAAGAAGAATAGAATGAAAAAACTTGGGAAATTTGAGCCAAGGAAATTATATAGAAAATATTTTAGCCGAATGAGTTGGATGGAAAAATTGAATTCTACTGACTTTTTGTATAGAATATTTTCCATTGAACATTTCACTATAATTGTCCAGCGAATTTGCTCGTCTATTCTGTTTAATTTTTTGTGCTTGTCGCGTTCCTACTGCAGTTGTTGATGCGTTTTTTAAGAAAACCCAGAATGCTATAGGAATGCTTTCCATTCAAGAATCTATGGGAAATATTCAAGAGAACTCTCGGAAAATGATAGAAAGTTGTGATAAATGTTATTCTTCATGATAAGTCCCGTTTAAGCTACCGATAACGATAACTTATACATCAAATCGTTGAAAGTGCCTGGAAATCTAGTGACTATTAACTGAAAAGGTCTGCATCGTTTTAAGTTTCGTTATCTTTCACCGAATGTCCAAGTGAATACGTCTGTGCCCTGTGTACAAACTACAAAAGTGAAGTCAACTTGAAGAATAATGTAAGCAACTGTATTGACCGCTTGTACCCACTGCATGAATAATCGTTGAAAGTCTGGGGATCCAATCCATTCGGTAGTTTTGAAAGGATGTGAGCATGAGCATTGAGAAAAATCTATAGTTGAAGGTATCCGCAATCGTGAATATGGAAATTAGGGATGAAGACGATTGTCTCGGGAGAAAGTACTCGTTTCCCAATGGTCTTCGCTATTTTGAGACGAAATGAACAACAGAATTTCCGATATTCATTCAAGAATTAGTTTTCAGTGTTGAAAATTATAATTGAACTACAAGCACGACAAAATTCCATAGAAAAGCCTAGCGAATGCGTTAGATAATTCTTTTGGTTTTTTATTCAACTTTCTATTAGTTTTTGGTCAATTCTATTGAAATTTTCAATAGAAAATATTTTATAGAAAAAGTCAATAGAATTCGATTTTTTGTTCAACTTATTCTGTTGAGATATTTTCTATGGAATTTACTCGAAAGAGAAATAGAATGAAAAAACCAGAAAATTTGAGCCGAGGAACATATATGTTTCCATAGAATATTTTCTATAGACCTTTTCAATAGAATCGGCTAAAAATTAATAGAAAGTCCAAGGGAAATCCAATACAATTGTCTCGCGAATTCGCTAGGTTTTTCTATAAAATTTGTTCATACGTGTAAAAATAAATGATTTATCAAAATCACCAGTAGGAAAATTTTTCTAGGCCTTTCAAATTCCAGAATATTTGCCAAGAACGAAATTTCAAAGCCACTCAACCAGTTGTGCCACTTCACCACTGAATTATAGAACAATAAGTTTTTACCTACGGAATACATCAGTAACTTATCATGTTCTTTTTTTCAGGGACGCGGTAGCAACATTCAACATATTCTCCAATACACCGAGAACGAGACGATTCAGCACAAGTGTAATTATCATTACCATTCATTATCATCAGTTCAGTAGCAAAGTGGCAAGCCGAAGAGGTCAATTTTTCATATCTTGCTGAATATCGAATCCTTTCGATAATGCAATGAATAAAGTCTTTTGATATTTCTCCCAAATCACTGAGTATTACTCAGAAAAATTTCAGTATTTGACGAGGTGCAGAAGAAGGGCTCATCATAATAAGTCCATTTTGACATTTTAGTTAATTATCTTTAAGGAGTGGGTCTAGGAGCACACACGAAAAAATTCAATCGCAAAACCTAACGAATTACTTAGACAATTCTATTGGATTTCTATTGAAGTTTCTGTTAGTTTTTGGCCGATTCTATTGAAATGTTCAGTAGAAAATATTCTATAGAAAAATCGAATTCTATCAACATTTTCTATAGAATATTTTTATTTCCTATTTTTTAAAATATTTTACATAGAATATTTTTCTTTTTCTTTTTTTTCTTTTATTTTCTCAGAATATTTTTATTTTTCTTGTTTTTTAAAAATATTTTATAGAAAAATCGACTTCAGTAGCGAAGTGGTAAAAGGGTTTAAGTCGACTTATCTCGCAGTTAAGTTTTTGAGGAATATTTCCGAATCTAAGGGAGATAGCGAAATTTTGATAATTACATTTATTGTAGCACTCAATCGGCTCTACAAAAAAGGTCATAAGAAAAATTTTGCTATCTCCCTTAGATTCCGAGATATTCATTGAAAACTGGGCAACAGTCAAAATTGACTTGTACCGTTTAACCACTTCGCTACTGAATCCTATTAACGTTTTCTATAATATATGTTCCATTGAACATTCCAACAGAATCAGCCAAAACTAATAAAAAGTTTAATAGAAATCCAAAAGAATTGGATAGCGAATTCGCTAGTTTTTTCTGTGAAGTTTTTTCATACGGGAGAAAATGTATCTATCCTTAATATTCAGCAGAATATGGAAAATGACCGGCCCTATTAATAAGTCAATAATCCATTGCTAATCATAATCAGTTGATTATTAATTACAATACCTAATCATCATAATCAATTAAGGCGAGACTACTATGAGTTTTCAAAGTCGTGGGTTATTGGAGTGAGACTTTTCATACGTTGAAGATCAATTTATAGATCTGAAAACAAATAATTAGTGCAAAAAAATTTTTTTTATTGTTCGTTTGCCCGAAAACGCTTAAAATGCCAAAAACAGTCCAGGGCCTCCAATTTTTGAGCTACGAAGGATTTTTTTTTTCAAAATTTCGGAAAAATACGTGGAATAACAATTACGAGCTAGTTTTTTTTAATTCGCCTCTTACATGGCTAAATTTCCTTTTTTGTATTTTTTTACACAAATAGTGAATTTTTTTATATGAAAAAAACTGAAATTAGCTGTGTAGGAGTCGGATTCCAAAAAAACTGGCTCATATTTGTTGCCCCACACATTTTTCCGAAAGTTTTGAGAGAAAAAATCTTCGTAGCTCAACAATTGGAGGCCCTGGATTGTTTTTAGCATTTTAAGCATTTTCGGGGAAACGAACAATAAAAAAATTTTGTTTGCACAAATTATTCTTTTTTTTATTAGTTTAAAGTATAGAACCCATATCTGGGTTATTTACACTATCGGTAACATTTATACATTTAATTTTTACATTTCTTTACCATATCGTTATTGGTTATACGCGGAGGTTACACTTGGAAAAGAATTTGTCTATAACCGAGAGAGCTTCGGAGTCAGTTGCCACCATAAACTAGAAAGTCCAGTACGGAGAGAAATATTTCAATGATCTTAGTTTAGTCGTTAGTTCTGATCTTTGGGCGTCTAGAAGAGGACATTGCCATAAGACATGATCAATGTCCTGAGATTCTGCCCCGAATTATTCGTTTTCAGATCTACATAATCGATCTTCAACGTATGAAAAGTCTCACTTCAATAACGCACGACTTTTCCCTGGTAAAACAGTCCGATTATTTCCGACTGGGTGATAAAAAATGAATCGGCGTTAATGATGTTTCTGTCTTTGCCCGTTAAATTCCGATTGGCTGGTAGGTAGAGTTTCGAGTTCAAGAAAATTATGAGAAGTAATAGGATCAAGGGTATGTGGCCGTTATCGTCCGATTACTTTCCAAAAAAGTGTTTGATAGATCTCATATTGCTAATATAACTCTTTAATATTTATTGCTCATTTAAATATTTATATGAGTAATATGAGATATATCAACCACTTTTTTGGAATGTAATCGGACGATAACGGCCACATACCCCTGTTCCCATTAATTCTCATAATTTTCTCAAACTCCAAACTCTACCTACCAACCAATCGGAATTTAACGGGCAAAGACAGAAACATCATTAACGCCGATTTATTTTTTATCACCTGGTCGGAAATAATCGGACTGTTTTACCAGGGTTAGAACTCATAGTAGTCTCCCCTTACTAAAAACACTCAATTTTTCATAATTAACCGCCTAGTTATCGTATATTACAGAGTCCAGGAAGTGCCCCAAGACTGACACCACGTGTGAATCAACTGAAGCAGGAGGAGTGTCTGGATGTTGCTGGTCGTGAGGCAGCCCACGAGAAGGAGATTCACAGTGCAATGCAGATATCCCAGTCCTGGGAGGACTTGACACTCGAAGCTGAGGGATTATCGTTCAAGGACTCTGAATCACCGACACAACAGTTGAATAAAATGGAGAGGCAGATAACGAAACGAGTGTTCGATCCACTCAATCTGAATTTACCTGTGGGTGGGGGTCCTCCATTGTGCTCGTCTCCATCGCCCACGAGGTCGCATCTGGGTCAGCGCCAGTGCTATTCACCTGGTTTGCACATGGTCAATTGGAAGACTAATTTATCACCGAGTCCAACGAGAAAGGCTTTTGCTACTAGGCGCAGTTTGAGCCCCATTGCTATTCGACCGAGTTGTCTGGGACCTGTTAAGAGGAAGTTCGAGCTTGATGACAGCAATGGGGATCAGCTGCTTCAACCTCCAGTCAAACGGACGTCTACCTTAGTTTTGTCGAGCTCACCGAGGTGAGAGGAACATTTTTTATCATTTTTGCTTCCGAGAAAGCCTTGTTTTCGACCGATTTTTCGGTTTTCTAATTTTGATTGCAAATGGTCTAGAATAATATGAAAAGTGAAGAAATTGTGTTTTTGTGTAGGGCCATGACTGAATGTATGTATCCGACAATTTTGCGCTTTTGGTTATTAATTTTTAGAAAATTTAACATAAATACGGTGAAATTTGTGGATAAAAATTTTAAATTTTGGCTCATTGTAACTATTATTGAGCTCAACTTTGGCGCGCTGTTTCAGCTCGATCGGCCCAGTAGTTCCAGGGATATAACAACTTGTTTAAGGCCCGGGTGTACTATCTGTCGAATGTTATCTGATTTTTTAAAATCTTTCGTAATCCAAAATTGTCAATTGAGTGGTACATCATGTAGAAATTCCCAAAAATTATGATAGAATGATTAAAAAAAATATAAAAAATTCTGAACTTTTTCATAGAGCGTTTTTAATTGAGATTCATAATGAGTTGAAAAACGTGGAAATTACAAATATCTGATTCGCCGTGGCAAATTATCTATTAGCTGTCTTTCTCCATGGTGGATAACAAACTAACTCCTCATGGGAAGTGACAGCTAAGTATCTCAATTTTCAAAACAGTGGTATGTAGTCATCTGCCATTTTTATGTGATAAAAGTGTGATTAAAAAATTCTCCAAAATATTACAACTTTTTTCAAAGAGCCTTTTCGGTAATAAATGTCTCTGTGCAGTGTGGGAAAAGATTTACGAAATCAGTCTTCTCCCTGCATGATATTGGATGACAGGCCCCCATTTGTCACCGTAAATCAGATACATTTTCCAATTTCTTCTTATTCAACTTATTCTGAATATAAATTAAAAATGCTCTTTGAAAAAATTAAGAATTTCTTCTACTTTTGTTTGATTATTCATTCATAATTTTTCAAAACTTCTGCATGATGCAGGACTCAATTGACAATTTCAGATGACGAAAGATGAACGAAAACATCGAGATAACGTTAGATAGTACACCCGGGCCTTAAGTGAATATTTCTAATTTCTTAAAAGAGATTATCGATTAACCAAATAATTGGCAATCTTTCTACCTAAATTATTCATTAATAAAATAGTTAAAATTTGAAAGTTTAAATTGATGATTACTTGAATAATTAAAAGTTTAAGAGTGGTGTTAACTAATTGACGGCTTCAAAATTTAACGGTAATTATGATTTATGAATATGGCTACCCCTGGGTTACAGTTGTGTGCCTGTCACACGGATTGGGAATTGCTACGGATCCATTTCGAAGCTTACTACGAATGGAATTGGTAGAAATAAAGAACAGAAAGAGGCTAATGACCCAAAAAGTAACGGTCACACGCGCTCTGTCGGATAGGCTCGAACCCCTGTTTGTTTTTTTTCAATAATTATGAAAATAATGATAATGCACACCCATGAAAAAATTCAACAGAAAACCTAGCGAATTCGCTAGAAAATTCTTCTAGAATTCTGTAGGAATTCTATGGGGTTTCTATAGGATTTCTATTGGAATTATCTGTCGATCAAAAAAAAATTGATAACATAATTACACACGAATAGTATTACTGAAAGGTAAAATAATCAGTACAATTTTCATTTTATTCTTTACGAAATATTCAATGCAAGTTAAAATTGTCCAGAAACTAATCCCCGTCCAGAAATTGACCTGTTTACCCTACATCCACACATGGTCATAATCCTCGAAAATCCAAAATAGAGCGATTTCAATTCCTCCATTCGCAAAAATGAAATTGACCGCGAAAATTGATTTTTCAGGTTGTCAAGTCCACTTTCAGGGACAATAAGCTCGGTGGGAACGCCCGAGTCGTTGTGCAGCGTCGACTCGCCAGGGTTTTCATTTCGTCCAGTTGACAGTCCATCCCCCAGTCGAGTGATAACGAACGGGGATGAGCCGATGAACGAAGGCAACGATCTGATTAAAACAACCGGTCAGATTCAGGCGAATCAGGTTGGCCAGTGCAATCACAGGTGAACTGCTTCCTTAGAGCAATAAATTATCGTTACCCCATCGATATTCAACCGAAATGAAACTTGAATTAATAGGATACTTCGTCATAGTTGTCTTTACTTAGTGCGTATTAAATCAATTAATTAATGCTGATTGCTACTTGCCCAAAGGTGCCAGAAAAACGCAGAATTTCCTTATTGTGTGTGAAGAAAATTCAATAGAAGGTCCTAGGTTGGGGTTTTGCGTGAAATTTACTTCATGAAGAATGAAATAACGAAAATGTCTTAATTTAATTTAATGAGTATTAATTCCTTTAATTTACTTTAAAAAATTGCAGTTGGCTTTTTAAACTGTTGATGTGAAATCCTTAGTTTCACATCATTCGGTTCTCATTGAAAACAGAATAATTTAAAATTAAGAAGGTGAAAATATGGAAATAGTGGATTCGTATCTTCGACAAGAACATTATGATGGCTTGATTTTTCATTGTTTTCCAAATCAAAAGATACGAATGCAGTATTTTTTATTTCACTCGGCTAACTTTGATCATTTTCGACACTTCGATCATTTTTTACAATAAAAAATAATATGCAAAAGCCCCTTTTCATTGAATTTTGGATCAGAAATGTTCGTTGGAAGCAAAATTGGAGAGAAAATCCCAATTCTCCGGGTTAAAAAATAGGATTAACAATTAATGTTTTCAATTTTCGGGTTAAAAATGAACTATTAAAATTTAAGTTAATTCCACGTCTCATCAACGAATTACTTACTTCTTAAATTTACTAAACACAATTGCAATTTTCTTTTTAAACGGTTGATGAGAAATCTTTTTATTATCACAAATGAAAACAGAATGGGAAATATTGAATACGTATTATTAACAAGATCGTCGTGACATCTTGATTTTCCACAGCAAAAAAAAAATTGGTCTAATATATTTCCCTGCGTTTATTATAATTAACCATCGAGTGGTCGCGCTATGAGCAAAGCGCAGTCCTTTTCATTTGTTTCATGACAACTGCGAAAATATCGATAATCACGAAATGCCCATTTAGGAGTTTCTCAAATAATCTGTCCTCGTGGCGTTAAATGCGGTTTTATTGTTCTGCGGTCACCAAATCTTCTGTTCTTAATTTTTCAATGAAGGGCGGTCAGAAAAAAACGCCGCTGCGCTCGTTGCGCGGCCAGAGTCGTAGTAGAAATTCGACGAGCGACGTTGCCAGCACTCGTGCTGTTCCCAGCTGGCAGATGACGAATCGTTGTGGCAACGTCGCGCTCGAAAATACGGACGGCGCAGCGCTTTACCGCGCGACCACTCGAGGGTTGAACAGAAAATGCGAAACCCCAATTTCATTGAGTTTTCGATGAGAAATATTCAAAAGAAAAAAAATTGGAGGAAAGTTCAGTATTTTTTGTGGACATCTGACTAATTTTCCAGGTTTTCTTCCAAAAATTGTTAATACAAGACATTAAGAAAATACAATAGAATCAATTTCATAGGGCCCGACGGCCTGGCGCTCTGGGTAAGGCGTTGCCTCACGGGCACAAGGTTCCGAATTCAAATCCCGGTCGGGTGGAATGGTGAGATCTAACCATTTTAAAGTCTTGATCATCATCGCAATATACTCAACCGAGTCGAAACGATCTAAAATAGGGGAGGGTCGGGCAAAATGGGACGTATTGAGATCTTTTCCAGTTGTCAATATCTTCACTTATAAATGAAGATATTCCTATCCTATTTACCAAAGATGAACGAAACGTGAAGTTGTTTTATATCGAAATATCTCGAAACTGCCTGACCGCTAATCCTTAATTCTGATTGGTCAATATGTGACACGAAGTTATTCACAAAAAAAAATACGCGGCATTTTCAAATTCTTCAGTGACAATTTCAAATTCTTCAGAGGTAAATTTTTGTTTCACGTCATATATATATGATATATATATTTCACATGTATATATATTATCGGTGAAATTAATAAATTCTGTCCTTTTATGGAGACCGATTATTTAAAAAAATTGATGATAATTAATTGAAAATAAAAAATTCTTTATAGATTCTTTTACTCTACTTCGCTATTCACTTCAATCGTTAGTCGAATTCTCTTTGATTCATTATCAATATTTATGAGGTATTCATGAGAAAATGAAATTCAATGAATTCTATTTCTTCATTTCAACAAATGAGTAGCGAGAGCGCGCGCCTAGATCTTGTTGACAATTAGAGAACATCGCGAAACGTCCCATTTTACCAGCTCTCCCCTAACAATAAAAAATAAGTTGCATAGAAAGATCACAAATTTCTTGACTTCAACTAGTTTTCAATTTTTTTTCTATCGAATATTTCTCACAGAAAATTTTATTACGATTGTGAAATTGAAATTCCTCAGTATAAATCAGCAAACTCCACAGGATTTCCTATTGATATTTTCTTCACACGATTTATTGTCTCCAGCAATTGAAAAAGATGAGGGAAAATGTTTGGAGAAATCTCCACTTTTTGCGTGAATTTTTGCAGATGTGACATTTTCATCACAATAATATATGTATAGTTATATATTTTTTAATGAGAAACTCCATTTACCTGACTGTGTTGGGAGGGTGTATAGGCGAAACTTGTTGGGGCATCCAGTCGATACAGTGGCCTCGAGGAGAATGAAAAATCATTCAACCTCGCTTTTTAAACTATTTTCCATACACCCATCGACTCTGTTTTCCACGTCCTCGGGGCCTGTACTTATAGCTAGTCTTTTTCGTTATCATTCGAATTCCCATTTCTTATTGAATGGGACGAATTGCGCGTCGCGAAACTAGGACGTAGCTTGGTTTAATTATTTAGTTCGGAACTGAGTGTTATGAGTGGCAAAAGACTGCTGTCTTTTTAGTTTAGTCGTTTTCGGTTCGATATCAGTGATTGCTTTGAAGATTCAGTCTCCTCAGATTAACTTAAGTGATCGACTTCGTTTTAGTTTTGCAATCAGATGTCTCAGATTTTCAGTTGAAAATTAAAGAACTTCTTTTAATTTGATGTAAATATACTTTAATGAATTGATTGATTTTCGAGTGGTTGATTGCGAAATTGTTCTGTTGTGTTGTTTCACGATTATTAACCCTCGGTCACTCGCCCTTACCGCCAGCCCTCATCCGTCGCACGGTTAGCGCAGCATCGCTGGGTTAAACCGAGCGCACTGTTGCCACCTTGGCGCTTACGGCTATGCGTGCATTTCAAGTGTGGCAGTGAATGTAGCAACACTGTCGCTTGAGGGGTCGACAGAAACTTGCAACCGGCCGCGCGGCGCCGCTTTCCTGTCCGTTCGACGTTTCTTTTCTGTTTCGATGTGGATACGTCTGTTTTCATTATGGGGTTGGGGGGGGGGGGGTTTTGGGGACAA